CCTCTGCACAATGGCTTCAAAGCGGCCAACAGCTGATCAAACGGGTTGCGGGCTTCGCAAGCAGTTTCGGATTTGTTTGGAATCCAGAGTTTTTTCTCCGTCCAGTCGTTTTCAGGGCGGCTTGGGAGGGGCTTCAGGACATTGAAAGGATTCCGGGCTTTCAGCGATGAGCCGTTTAGGGCTTTGCTTCGGCGCGGTGCGCTGCAGGTGTTCCCGGATGGTTGGCCTTGATCCTAAACCCTAAACCCTAAACCCTAAACCCTAAACCCTAAAACTCGAAACCCTACACCCTAAACCCTAAACCCTAAGGAGCTGCTTTAGGAGTACGGTGTGGGCCAGGCTGACGCGAAACATAGCTGAACTTCAATCGAGTTGAAAAGTAAATTTCAGGAATTCAAGTGCATTGAACACCGAGTTTAAAATCTTTTCTTTTAGCGTTTTAACCCGCCTGAGAGCCCCCCCCCCCCCCCCTAAACCTAAACCCTAAACCCTAAACCCTAAACCCTAAACCCTAAACCCTAAACCCTAAACCCTAAACCCTAAACCCTAAACCCTAAACCCTAAACCGACCTACAACCAGCCCTCGGCCATGAAAAGGATGAGGAGCTCTACCTGGGCACCTGCTTCAAAAAGTGCCTGCCTCCCAGCACTTCTCAATCGGCTCAGGGTTTAGGGTTTAGGGTTTAGGGTTTAGGGTTTAGGGTTTAGGGTTTGGGGTTTTGAGGTTTAGGGTTTCTGGGTTAGGGTTCAGGGCTTAGGGTTTCGGGTTTAGGGCTTGGGGTTTGGGGTTTGGGGTTTAGGCTTTAGGCTTTAGGGTTTATTTAGGCTTTAGGCTTTAGGCGTTAGGCTTTAGGCGTTAGGCGTCAGGCGTTAGGCGTTAGGCGTTAGGCTTTAGTGGCGCTTTCCTACTATGTGCCTAAGAACCCCCAAAAAAACAACAAATATCCTTCCTCATAAGGGCGCTTAAGAACTTCCCCCTTCCCCCCCAAAAAAAATGATAGTCATCCCTCTATCCCCTGATAAGGAAGGATACATATTTTTTTATTATTTATTTTTTTTTTTTTTGGGGGGTGGGGGGGGGTTGTGAAGCAATTGGTAGTTTCAGAGTGCCTGTCGGGGTTGAAAGCTTCAGGTGCTTGGAGCCGTTGATGGCTTTGAGCGGTATATTGAAGAGGCATGCCAGCCGCAAGCTATACTCCACTGCAGCGGACAACGCTGGGTTGTTTAGGGCCGATACTTACGGCTACTTACGCTAGCAGTTCAGCACCCAGGCTTCAGGCATAGGGCCTAGAGAGGATGCGAACCGCACCCAAGTTGGCGGCATGTTTATAACGCTTCCATGCTCCCCCGCCCAAGAATTTCCAAAATGATATTCACCGAAAGCCCTCTTAAAGCCCCAAGTCCCTCCCTGAAATCCGTCGAAGCCCGCACCTGCACGGAGCTGAACCCAGGCTCCATTCTGACCAACAACGTCTTCCCGCACCGGAAGGCCTTCGCGACGTGCTGCAAGGCCAGAGCATTGGAGCATGAGCTACGAGTGAGCTACCTCAAAGGCTGCCTCCATAAAGCACGGAAGACTTGGCTCAACCTGTCCTCAACAGTCTTCTTTGGTGTCCATTCGCTTCAAGGCCTCTTTCTTTTGACTTCGCCTCAGGCAACAAGCTTGTTCCAATGCCTGATGCCTGGCTACTCGAAGACGGACGAGGCAGCAGCCTGAACTCCCTGAACCTTTTGGGACCAAAACGAACCCTAAACTTGGGATCATATACCCCAAACTAGTATAGTTCCTAGTAAGGTATATGAACCCTAAAATTGGGATCATATACCCTTTTCTTGTATAGTTCCTAGTAAGGTCTTTGAGCCATAAACCCTTTTTAGGGCTTATTTGGTCCCCAAGGAACCCTGAACTCCCAGAGTCAGACGGAGCCATGGCACTCAAGTCATGTAGCACGATGCGTAGGCATCGTTCAGCTCGGCATGTGGCATGTTTCGGAAGGGTGACACAAGCTCGGCCCAATGCCAGAGTGCACGTTGGACAGCTGACGTGCTGCTTCCTGTCAACTTGATGTGACTGCTGCCCAGCCAACGTCGGATGGGGTCTTCTCTCTCGTCACCTTGGCTGTCACACATTTGGGCTGCTGCTTCAGAGGCTCCTGGAAGCCACAGACCTTAAATCCCAAACTCCCAAAACCGACTGGGTTGAGGCAAGCCCTCTAGAGCTAAGCCTAAATCAAGGCCCCCAAAAAAGTTGCGGGTCGGAAGGCCTTCACGGAGGGTGGCGGCTTCGGCGACCACGACCCAAACACCCCGAATCAGGCGCCCGGGCCCCGGCCTTCCGGTGTCAGCGAGGGGGGATGTGATGTCGGCAGGCGACTTCCTTTGGGTTTTCCTGTTCCGGGCTGCAAGTAGAACCCTAAACCCTAAACCCTAAACCGGCGTGTTTACAGCGAGAGATGATTAAGTGAGGATTGATTGGCCCACATGCACCTGCAACGATCCAGACGAGGACAAGCCTATGAATGCTCGCTCGTCCAGGGTTTGAATACATGGGTAACTATGGGTTTAGGGTTTAGGGTTTAGGGTTTAGGGTTTAGGGTTTAGGGTTTAGGGTTTAGGGGTAACTCCAGGCAGTCTGGGCCAGCACCCCCAGCTTGTCGCGAAATCGCTCTGCCCGTTCAGCCTATCGCGCAACCCTAAACCCTAAACCCTAAACCCTAAACCCTAAACCCTAAACCCTAAACCCTAAAAACCAGCAAAGCCTCGAATAAGGCCCTTGCAGGTGCTCTCTGCTACTCACGGAAGTTCAATGAACGCCGAGCATGCAAACAATATCACTATGCTTCCCGAAACCCCAAAACCCCAAAACCCCAAAACCCCAAAACCCCAAAACCCCAAAACCCCAAACCCCCAAAACCCCAAAACCCCAAAACCCCAAAACCCCAAAACCCCAAAACCCGAAACCCCAAAAAACCCAAACCCCAAACCCAAAACCCCAAAACCCCAAAAAACCCAAACCCCAAAACCCCAAACCCCTAAACCAAACCCCTAAACCCCCTAAACCCCTAAACCCCTAAACCCCTTAAACCCCAAACCCCAAACCCCAAGCCCCAAAACCCTAAACCCCTAAACCCCCAAACCCCTAAACCCCTAAACCCCTAAACCCCTGAACCCCTGAACCCCTGAACCCCTGAACCCTAAACCCTAAACCCCTAAACCCTAAACTCCTCCGAAATCCCTAGCAGCCCAGGCATGCCCCCATGCAAAGCTTGACGGAGGCATCCTAAACGGCGGCAGGGATCTCAGACCGCTCCACTTCTTTGAAGGAGTCTCGGGGGGTTTAGGGTTTAGGGTTTAGGGTTTAGGGTTCAGGGTTCAGGGTTCAGGGTTCAGGGTTCAGGGTTCAGGGTTTAGGGTTTAGGGTCCGCTTTGGGTCTCGGGGTTGTGGTGTAAGAAACAGTGGGAAAGGTTCCCTACATTGCTTAACAGCGGCCCCACGTATCAATCACAAAATTTCAAAAGAGAGGGACGGTACATGTTTGCCTTTCCTGTGACAGACGACAACGAGTTAAGTTATATGACCTTGCCTTGCTGTAGGGAGCGCTGCGCGCACGCGGTAACCTTGCATGAAATGTCACGTTTTCTTGCTGAGGCCGCAACGAGGTCATATGACCTCTTTGGCACAAATTCGAAGCAGAAGCACGGAGCCTCGCAGATGCGAGCTCATGGACTTTGGTCGGAGATTCCCAACCAATGTCCCAGAAGGGGATGGGCGGGAGTTCAGGGCTGTATCCTTTGCCAGTACTTGTAGTGACTATGAGTCAGCCTGCACTTGGCTTGGGCGCATTTTGAAGATGGTAGTTTCGGAAGTCCCACGACCCCATTCTCATCTGATTCTTTGGCCGACTGCCAAGGCGCAGCTATGCATGGCAGAGCTTGCTGCATTACACAACAAAAAGTGTTGCAACTCTCTTTGGTTTGTGGGCATGCAGAGCCCAGCCTTGATCCCAAACCTACAACAGCACAAATTCGCGACTTGCTTGGGCTCAAAGCTTGTGAGCCCCGCTAGAGTCCCTAGAGACAGAAGCTCCAAAGGTCTCAACAACACCTCAGTGAGACTCACATCATGCCCTCGTTACAACCCTAGGATCCCTAATTCCTCAGAGAGCTCCGGAAACAACACGCAGACTGTACATGGTGGTTTACGAAATGAGGGACCCCTAATATAGACCCCCAAATACTAGGATTCCCTTTCAATAAGGACCCGAATAAGGTAACCCTAAGTTCGGGGAGCACAGGATCCTCTTGCCGTCTGAAGCTTAAAACCTCAAAGTCCCCCTCTCATGCGCCAGGTTCTATGCCTGCGGTGCCCTTGTGAACCTGGCCGCCGACCCGGCAAGCGTCTCAGACTTCTAGGTACGGTGAAGGAAAAGTCCGAAAGTCCTCGGGAATGATGGGTTTTTTAAACCCAGTCTCCGAGCCCTTGCGCCCTTGGCCGATAGACCTATGTGTTGGCGCTGAGTTGTCTTGCACCTTGACTGTCATTCGGCGGATATGCGTGATGCACATGCTTGGTCTCGATGTGCTTGAGTGTTCTGCACGCGTATGGCTATGCCTGCAAGGCTTCTGTTTGCAGGAGGGGGTTCATCCTCTTACTCAAAGAGCCTTGCTGGTTCTGAATCTGCTTGAACATTGTGCTTGCTTTCCCCGGCCGTCACTGCGCTGGATGCAGAATTTTTGCGGGGTTGGGAGTGGAACTGTCGACTCGACGCCAGCCGGTTGTTGAAGACATCTCTTGTTGTTCACCACATGCAGCTTTGCAAAGTCTGCTGGAGATGTAGGGACGCTGTGAGGTTTTTGGGCTTGAGGGTTCATGGTATGCAAAATGCTTGAACCCAAGCAGCTCTAAGTCTAAGACCCGCAACCTTCAAGCCCCTGCCCCAGAAGCCTAGTAGAAGCCGGAGCTCAAACGGTTCCCGCTCTGCAGCCACCCACTTCAAGGAATGCACGCTGCGCCTGACCGGGTCTACTCCTGCAGTCGAGAAGCTAGCGAAGGAGGGGCGACTCGAACTGGGTGGGGTTTTGTTGACGTTGGTGGTTCAGGGGCTTCAAGGGCTTCGGGTTTCAGGATTTACGTGTTTCGGGTTCTTGGTCTCTGTCCTCTACAGAAAGCTGGATACTTGGGTTTTTTCTGGCTGTCTCTTGCACGGGAGTCCCCTGACTCATTCGCTTAGTCCATCCCGCACACCTCCCAAACTTGCAACATAAACCCTACGGTCCCGAGAGTCAAGGCCTCTGCCTTATCGACCCCGCCTCCCGAAACCCCCTGAACTTCTGAATCCCCTAAACCCTAAACCCTAAAATACTCCAACCCTAAACCCGAAACCCTAAACCCCAAACCCTAAACCCTAAACCCGAAACCCTAAACCCTCAGAGCCCAAGCTCCCAGTACACCCAATGAAGCCCTTACGCCTCTCAGCTCCTCGGGGATGCACCGGCGGATGACCCGCTGCTGCAGCTGGTGGCCGTGAAGGCCTTCGGGTTTAGGGTTTAGGGTTTAGGGTTTGGGGTTTGGGGTTTGGGGTTTGGGGTTTAGCGTTTAGCGTTTAGGGATTTAGGGATTTAGGGATTTAGGGATTTAGGGATTTAGGGATTTAGGGATTTAGGGTCTAGGGTTTAGGGTTCGGCTTTGCCCTTGGGGACCAAAGGGGGGTTTACGACAATCGGGGTACCTTATTGGGGTCCTGATTGCAAGGGGATCCTAGTGTTTGGGGGTCTCTATTTGGGGTCAGCCCCAAATGAACCCAAAATTGGTGGTCATATACCCTGTACTTTTGTTCCGATTAAGGTACATGAGCCATGAACCCTTTTCGGGTTCATTTGGTCAAAAGGTCTTTCTGAGGGCATAGAGAAGGCGCTTTTAGCCCCGAGCCTTCAGACCTCAAACTGAGTCCGGCAGTTGGGTGGAAAGCATTTCGGTCCTCTTTTGGGTTTCATTGCGGGCCTGTGTGCAATGTGTCCTCGAAGGGGGTTCTGAGGCACAAGGCGTGCAAGGATGTCGTCTTTTAGGGCTGTGAAAAGAGACAACGCGTATCCGGAGTCGCTATGGAGATCCGGCTTCCTCTTGCTACGTTCGCGAAAGCTGCGTTCTCGCGGCTCGTTGATCCATGTCCTGCAACCACACTGATGCACATTTTGCATCGACACGGCTTCTTGCATCTCAATCTTCCTCTTTGCTCGGCCAGGGTCAGTGCGTGAGACCAAGTTTGTACGCATGATGCATGCCGTGCCAGTAGCTCGCACGCTCAACACATGATCTTGTTTGTGGACAGCCGGACAGCCTTGGGCAGGTCCTGACAAACCTATCGCTGGACCACCGTGCCACGTGGACCGCCCCCGACATTGAGGCGCAGATGCGGGCTTCGCACCCTCCTTATACCCCCCCCCTTCTACCCCCTGGTTGGACTTTTGGGGTTTTGGGGGATCTTGGGCCTTCTGGAGTTTAGGGTTCAGGGTTTCGGGTTTAGGGTTTAGGGTTCAGGGAGTTTAAAAAGCTCATGTCTGAGGCTCGCCTATCTCTTTGCGTGCAGGCTGTGCGCAGCGCCCTCGCGCAAACGATTGCGGAGAGCAAGGACTGCAGCGCCTGAAGAGCGTGGCTGCCCCAAACCCTAAACCCTAAATCCTAAACCCTAAACCCCAACTAAACCCTAAACCCTAAACCCCAAACCCTAAACCCTAAACCGGATTCGAGAATGCACCCTTGTGGCTGCCCTAAACCCTAAACCCTAAACCCTAAACCCCAAACCCTAAACCCCAAACCCTAAACCCCAAACCCTAAACCCTAAACCGGATTCGAGAATGCTTGCATGCTGGGCCCTCGAACTTTCTTCAAGGGTCGAAGTCTGGGTTAGGCCTACTCAATCCCCGAACCTCCGGGCCTTGAGCTTGATCCAGTGACCTTCCACCTTCAACTTCGGAAGAGGTTTCGGTAGGACTTTGAAGAGATTTCTAGGCTGTGAAGCCGTTTAGGGTGTATGGGGGTGAAGTCCAGGATTTGGGATTGAGGGTGGAAGCTTTTCCGGATTCCCCCGGGGCTTTGGGATTTGGAGTTGAGGTCGGGGAGGTTGAGAGGGCCAGAACAATAATTTGCCCGGAGAACCCAACTGCTTCTTTGTTCTAGGTTCCCTTCTGAGCCCCTGTAAACCAAAAAGGGCACCCTTTTTGTATTCCTAGGCTACTCTTGGGTGAAACTTGTAAAGGCTCGTTTGATCCCCCCCCCCCTCCCCTCGGTCAAGCCCGGAGCTCAGGAGCTTGCGGACGTGTCGGAGAGGTGCTCCTAAACCCTAAACCCTAAACCCTAAACCCTAAACCCTAAACCCTAAACCCTAAACCCTAAACCCTAAACTGGGCCTCGGGACCGGTTTTTTTTGGGGGGGGGGGTTTGAGGCTGCAGCCCGGATTTCGGGGATTCGGCCTTACTCGTTTTTTTTTTTTTTTTCGGGGATTCGGCCTTTCTCGTTTTTTTTTTTTTTTCGTTTTTCGTTTTGTGTTTTTTATTTGTTTTTTTTTGTGGGGGGATGAAGAGGTCTCCATGCGTCGTGTTCGTGTAGGGTGGCCGGCTCCTAAGTAAGGGGCGTAGCTGGCCTGAAATACCAAAACCCGAAATCCTAAACCCTAAACCTTGGGATGTTCTCTAACAGTCCTTAATGGGGATTATCATAGGGCTGTTAGTATAAGGGGGAACATCCCAACCTAAACCCTAGGCCCGAGACCCTAAACCCTAAACCCTTTTAAACCCCAAACCCAAACCCAAAACCCTAAACCCCAAACCCCAAACCCCAAACCCTAAACCCTAAACCCTAAACCCGAAACCCTAAACCCTAAACCCTAAACCTTAGCAGGAACAGCTGTCCACAGTAGGGTCAAGACACGAACGACGTCACTTTCCCAAAATCAGTAATGAAGGGCGAGATATCACGGCCGTTGCCTGCGAGGGCAATATGGATGGTGATTGGACTGCAGTTGCAGTCGATAGGCAGAAGTGGAAGAGCCTTGAGAATACCTGGGTCTTCAAACATGATGTTCCCTGGACTTCTGGCAGACAGCTTGCGCTCCCACCGTGGCAACATGCGCATTGTCAGCCTGTTCACTCCCCACATGCAATCATGGATCGAAACTAGTCGGGACCTGCATGCATTACCTGTGAAGCGGCGTACCCCGCGTTGCTGATGTTCTTGTGCAGCCGGTCCTGCCATAGTTCCTGGAAGTGCCTGTGTGTTTCTTGACCATGCTCAGCTTCGACCAGTCATGCAGGGTTTGGTGGAGGAAGGTGGTGGTGGAGGTGACAGAGATGGGCTCGTTGGCGCGTCTAGACGTGGGCGTGTGACATGATCATGCACAGGGAGTACTGAGGGGCATGCTTTCCGGTTTCGTAACCTACCCTAGCTGTAAGCTCGCCCGAAAAGGAGTGAAGGGTTGTTAAAAAAAGAAAACCCTAAACCCTAAACCCTAAACCCTAAACCCTAAACCCTAAACCCTAAACCCTAAACCCTAAACCATAGCCAGGCAGCAGCTGCTGGAGCTCTCGCAGCAGCTCTTGGGCCGGCTGCCACAGTGGTCTGCTCAGGTTTTTGGTGAGAACTTAAAACCCTAAACCCTAAACCCTAAACCTAAACCCTAAACCCGAAACCCTAAACCCTAAACCCTAAACCCTACACCCTAAACCCTAAACCCTAAACCCTAAACCCTAAACCCTAAACCCTAAACCCTAAACCCTAAACCCTAAACCCTAAACCCTAAACCCTGCACGCGAATCAAGGCCCAAAACCCTCTTCGCCACCAGGTCTGAGGCCGAAGCCAGTCCAACAGACAGCACGGCCGCAACGAAGGCGCAGCTCTCATCTCTTTGTCATAGTTTGGTAACATTTTACGTTTTTAAGGGTACTTAAACCCAATAAGGAATTTAAAAAATGCATTTTTAAAATTATCCCAACCATGAACTAGATCTGTTTGGGCCGGGTTTAGGGTTTATAGGGTTTAGGGTTTAGGATTTAGGGTTTAGGGTTTGGGGTTTGGGGTTTAGGTTTTAGGGTTTAGGGTTTAGGGTTTAGGGTTTAGGGTTTCTTCAACCTTCTGGGCCTGTGGGCCAACTCCAAAGTCAGTACGCCTGAGCTTCGATGAGCCCTTCGAAAGCCCACCATCGGCTCTACCCAGCTTTCTTCAGTTTAGGGTTTAGGGTCTAGGGTTTAAGGTTTAGGGTCTAGGGTTTAGAGTTTAAGGAACCCTTTTTGGGGGATCCTTTTAAGGGGATTCTATTCGATTGGGGGTGTAAACGGGGTACCTCTTATGTTGCGAAGTACCCATATCCCTGCGAACTCCAGGATTGCCACAGGCCAAGCAAAGACAAGGCTGACATGAAACTCTACACGGAAAAGCCTGAACTCTACCCTAAACCCTAAACCGTAAACCGTAAACCCTAAAGAAGAAGAAGAAGGAAGAGACAAAGAAATGCTGGAGCAAGCCAATGGAGCAAAATCCAGCTGAAGCTCCCACCCTAACCCTAAGCGACTTAGTACTGGCGGGGTATTCCTAAACCCTAAGCCCTAAACTTAAATTCCCTAAGCCCTAAACCCTAACCCCTAAGCCCCTAAGCCAGGATTGGTTCTTCTGCACTGCTCCGGGCTGTGGCCGCCGCTTTGGCTCGCAGGCCAAAGGGCGCTCTGCGGTTGAAGTCTCGGGCTTCGGGTTTTAGGGGTTTAGGGGTTTAAGGGTTTAGGGGTTTAGGGGTTTAGGGGTTTCTGGGTTTCTGGGTTTCTGGGTTTAGGGGTTTAGGGGTTTTCGGGTTTTAGGGCTTTAGGGTTTTAGGGTTTTAGGGTTTTAGGGTCTAGGGTTTTAGGGTTTTAGGGTTTTAGGGTTTTAGGGTTTTAGGGTTTTAGGGTTTTAGGGTTTTAGGGTTTTAGGGTTTTAGGGTTTTAGGGTTTATGGTTTATGGTTTCAGGCTTCCAGGCTTTCAGGGTTTGGGGTTGAGGGGGTTAGGGGTGTTTTGGAGGTTGGTTTTGGCTTCGCAGGTCGAGGGCAGCGACGAGGATGTTAAGGGTAGGGTCTCGTTTGGTTTCGTCATCTGGGTTAGGGGGGAAACCCTCTTAAGGCGCATCAGCCCCCCCACCCCCCACCCCACCGACCTCAAGACATAGAACCCCGACTTCTGCCAAACCCTGAAGGCCAGAAGCCAACATGAAACCATGCTCACCTTATCTACAAGCCAGGAGAAGCTGTCTGCGCACGTCGAGCGGCGCCACACAGAGCGCAATGCTGGCGGCTGATCTCAAAAACCCGTGCATGAGGGAATGGTGGAGGGCTGAAGATGGCTTTTTCCCGAAGAGGGCAGAGCTGGGGTTTAGGCTCGCAAGCTTTGCCCACAAAGCTGAAGTTCGAAGGCTAAACCGGACTCGCCAAGACATGGGGGTGTGAGACGCCAGCGTTTAGCGCTTGAGAGACAAGGTTTTCGGGGTTAGGTGCAAGGTTCAAGGGGTGACTCCCGGCAGCATGTAGGATCTCTGACTGTTCTCACAACACGTGAGAGCAGGCCCTTCGTGCAATTGCGCAAAAAAGGCATGCAAGGCTTGGAATGCTTCTGTAAGGCTTGTCAGGCTTCGTCGCCTTGCCTCTTTCGGATGATGAAGTTCCTCGATTGGTACGCTCGTGGTATATCATACTATTGCTAAGATGTTCATGACCGCACAGTCTTCTGCCCAGTTTTTTTATCTTTGTCAGTAGTGTTTGTGCGTCAGTGCTCAGCCGGTGAAGCTCTGTTTACCCAAAACCCTAAACCCTAAATCCTAAACCCTAAACCCTAAACCCAAAACCCAGACACCTCTTTAACCTTCAGCTTCAGCCGCAGCGCTTCAGGGCGTCAGGGTACAAGGTCCCCGGGTTTGATCTACGATTCAGCCCGGGCTCACAAATCCTACGCTCTCTTATCGCTAAAGTCAGTCAGCTCAGTAACCTCCCTAAACCCCTCCAGGCTCACGACCCCAAACCCCAAACCCCGAACCCCGAACCCGGAACCCCAAACCCCAAACCCCGAAACCTGAACCCTGAACCCTGAGCCCCTCCAGGCTCCCCCAAGTCCTTTGCAATGCGGGCCAGAAACCCTCGGAAAAAAGATGGAAAATCCACGTGAAGCCCCAGTGAGGGTTTTTAGGGTTTAGGGTTTAGGGTTTAGGGTTTAGGGTTTAGGGTTTAGGATGGGACTCACTGGCATTCAGGATGGAAGACGTAGGGGCTGTCGCTTAGATGGGGGATCTCGGGCTCACAGGGGGAACTTCGCATCCTACCCCGCAGCTATCTATTCATGCTCAGTTGTATATAGCTTCTATGTCTTAGTTTTCTCGGGGGCGCGACCGAGAAGCCCGAGTACAGCTGGGGCCTCGGATGCTGGTGCTCCCTGCATGAGATTCCTTCGGGCTCGCGTGCTGGGTGGGGGGGAATCAGGGTCTGGGGGCTGCTCTGCTTCAAAGCCCAAAATCCCCCCCCCCCCCCCACCATAAACCTTAAACCCTAACCCCCCTCAACCCTCAACCCTAAACCCTAAACCCTGAACCCTGAACTCTAAACCTTGTCAACCCTACACCTTAAATACATAGCCATCCCTAGTCGGGTGGTCAAACTGCTGCGAGTCACACTCTGCTGACAAGTGAAGACTCCACGGCAAGCCTCTGCAAGTACAAGGTACGCAGAAGGCGTGTGTTTGTGCGCGTTTTTGGGGGTGAAAAGAGGCAAAGTGCACAACTGATAATCAACCAGGAAAGGTCGTGTGTTGATGCGCCTGCCTCGTGTTTTGTCTCCGCAAGTACGAGTCGTCAATAAGAAAATCATGGCTTGGTTGGGTGGGGGAAAAGGGGGGAAGGGACGGTGAAGGGGTGGGGGGGAAGGGCGACTGAAGCACTTTCAGCATTCGTAGTCCAGTTTCTCGTCGCCCGTGCTCGTGGTACTGGAATCCTGCAGAAGGCATTCTGACGTAGAAAGATGCTTCTTTTCATCAAGCATCTTGGGCAGACTTCGTATTTCTGATGCATCCCATCAAACGGCCTGTACAAGGAACAGCTGCCACCATTTCCCAGCCGACCATGATGTGTCATTGAGCTTTGCGGCAACTCCACATCAAGCACTCCAATCCTAACGCCAACGTGCATGACACAGAAATGCATCACTCTTGTCGGGGCGGTTCTTGTCAGTACGCTTCGTACTTTCTTAAAGACACCATTCTCCAGACTGAGGACCTCCTGGCGTGCCCCTACTGAAGCGTTTTTGCTCAAGATCGCCGAATACACGGAGCGCTGAGCCTTGGAAGCTTCGGGGTTTAGGGGCTGAAAGCAAGTGAAGACAAGATTTCTGAAACTTCCAGGGGGGTCTTGGCGTTCGAAGTGTACTTGGGCTTCGGCTTCCACTCCAAAAGCCCAAAAGGCCCTACAAAATTGCAGGAATTGAGCTGTATTTGCGCAAGCCTGGGCCAACGGACCCTTCCACAACAGGCACCCGAAGCGCGGAAGACGGGCCTTACGACAGCCAGTCCTACAGAATTCGCGCCATTCAGTCGACCCCTGGCGACGGCCAGCTGAATGCAGATGTCACAGCAGACATGAACTTGCACGAACAGCCCGCTATACAACCTCGCCAGACCTCAACAAACAAGAAGCTCTGGATCTAATCCTGAAGCACAACTCCACCCCGCAGCCTGAAGCCCTCGAACCTCGATCCTCTGCAGGAGGAGATGACGGCACCGTCACCACCGCCGCCGCCTGGGAGTTCCAACAGCCTGCAGTTTGCATCTCTCTATGCCTCGGCCTGAGCAACACCCGGGAGTTCAGGGGCCTCAGGAGTTGAGCGGAGTCTGAGCATGGCTTTGGCACGCAGGGTGGGTGTTGATGGGTGTTGCTTGGGCGAGGTGAAGGACGATCTGGGGACAGAAGCCCAAGGCCTGAGCCCAACTCCACTCCTCTTGATTACCCCCCAAAACCCTCAAAGTCAAGAGCGCCCCTGGAAGACATGTCCTCAAAGAGAGGCTCTTAGGCTCGTCAAGGCTTTGACATACACTTTTCCCCGAAAGGCCCGAGTCCCCCAAGAGGAATCTTGTGCTTCGAGACAACTAGGATGCCCAGCCGTGCCCTTATTCCCCTTTTTGGGGGCTCTAGGTTCCCCCTATAAACCCCTATTTAAGCAAAAAAGGGCACCCCTTTTTAATCCTAGGTTACTGGGCAATACTAGACAAAGAGAGCCCGAGGTGGGTGATCTTCACCCCGATGTTGGCGAGGCTGGCGCCGGCCGGCTTTTGGTGGAGGGAAGTTGGGGGCTTGAGGTTTAGGGTTTAGGGTTTAGGGTTTAGGGTTTAGGGTTTAGGGTTTAGGGGCTTCAGGGATGTGGGGTCGCCAGGTACATCCCCAAAATCAGAGGGCAAAAAAGCAAAAGCAAGGGAAGAAGCGTCCGTCCTGCAGGGCCTATCCAGTGGGCTCGAGCTTGTAGAGCACCAGCATCCGAGCCTGGAAGCAGATTTCCCCAATGACGGTGCTGTCGCGCTGGCTGTGCCTCTCATGCTTGCTGTGGTCAAGGACAGACTTCATTTCCTCCAAGCCTGGCCGTGCCCAAATCCCCGACTGCAACCCCAACCTCAACATCCGCCGTGAGCAAACTGCTGTCTTCAGTGCAGCTTTCCCAAAGACGAAGGGTGGCGGTCCGATGTCTCAGGGTGCAATAGCCAGTTTAGGGTTCCTAATCTGTAGCAAAACCCTCCTAGGTAGGATAAGGGAACCCCTTCTTAACCCTCTTCTGGCTCTCTTAAACAGGGACCTTATTCAGAGGGTCTATATCCCCAAGGGTCCCCCTAATCCTATCCCCTAAACCCACGAAGGATGGGATCAGCGGGAACTGCCGACAAAATGCGCGCCGCGGTGGTCAGCAACCGAAGCTGGGATTTCCAGTTCCATTTGGACAAGCTCGAGTCATGTCTGCACTCAACCCTAAACCCTAAACCCTAAACCCTAAACCCTAAACCCTAAACCCTAAACCCTAAACCCTAGACCCTAGACCCTAGACCCTAGACCCTAGACCCTAGACCCTAGACCCTAGACCCTAGACCCTAGACCCTAAACCCCAATTACAAACGTGAGGCTCCTCTTGTCTCAACGCGAGTGCGGGGAATACTCCTTGCGGGCAGCTACTTACACAGCTACTTACACAGAACGGAATATGATTGCTAGGAGGCCTCCAAACTCTCAGAAAAACCAAGATTCGCAAGAGATCTCCCTAAACTGTGCCAGCAGCCAAGGCCGTCATCGACTTGGACCTTCGCTGGTGTTAGCAAAGCGTTGCGATGTGGATGTACACCGAAGACCATCCATTCCTTAGGGTCTCGGTTCTGGGGTTCAGCTGCCTAGGCCCTCAACTCCCTACACCCATAACCCATTCCACTGGTAAACTTAGTCAGAAAAAATCCACCCTCCTTTCGAGCGCCTTTGCCCTGCCACGAAAGGACATTCCAAAGCCTGGTCACGGTGAAGCGCCTCGGATTGTTGGATGCGGCCTTGGCCGACTTCAGCCTTCCATTCCAGCGGTCGGGGTAGTGGGAAGCCACTTCATGTCCTGACTTTTGGAACCGAAGTACTTTAACTGTCTTCTTATCTCCTGCGCCATGACACCCTGGTTGAAGAAAGGTGCTGGTACAAGTTGTCGCCTCGAACATCAATCCGGCTCTTCGGCACATGAGTTGTAGGGCTTCGGTTCTCGGCCGCTGCAATCCTCAACCCTTCAACCCTCGAACCTAGGTCAGGGTCTGGGATTCTGGATGTCGGCATTCATGACTTCGCAGCCCGAAGTCCAGAAACGTTGGCTTCTGCAAAACATGCCGTATCAGTTGTGTGGCGTTTAATGGGCGGAGCGTCCAAGCAAAGTCAGTGGCCCTCTGGCAAGTTTAGGATGCATTGCTTCTGGGTACCCTAGACCCTAATCCCTAAACCCTAAACCCTAAACCCTGGGTTCTAGTTAAATGCCTGAATTCAAAGAGCCGAGCTGACCAAGTTTGTGTAGGAAGCTGAGTGACTCCGATGGAATGCATCCAGGCCTGAGTGTAGAATAAGTGCGCCTGCAAGTACCCAGATCTTCCAAAGCCCCTTAACTAAGGAATATACCCTAATCTATACTAAGGATCCTTTTTTATGAATTAGGGTATATAAGGTATATACCGTATACCGTAATTAAGGGGTTTTGGAAGATCTGGGTACGAAGCAGCCGGTTGGAGTTTCACGTTCTGGTTCGTGTTCAAAGGTTGGGATGTTCACCCTTATACTAACAGTCCCTGATAGGGATTATAGTACCCCCTATTAGAATCTCGTTTGAAGGGCTCTTAGTATAAGGGGGAACATCCCATTCACAGCTATTGCAGAGGTCGACCACAAGATTGTGGGCATGGCTGGCTGGAGCTGGATGTATCCCCACAAGCTGCCAGGTTCTCCTGTGGTACCCTTTACTGTAACCTTTACTGCTGTGTGATTAAGAACCTTCGGGTTTAGGGTTTCGGGTTTAGGGTTTAGGGTTTAGGGTTAAGCAAATAGTAGGTTTATCTTCCTGTCTTCGCAGTCGGGCTACTCTAGCACGCAGGGTTAAGCTACACCCAGCCCCAGATGCTTGCATCCTTCAAGGCCCCCCAAGCCCTTTAATTCCTTGAGTTTCAACGGCAGGGTTTAGGGTTTAGGGTTTAGGGTTTAGGGTTTAGGGTTTAGGGTTTAGGGTTTAGGGTTTAGGGTTTAGGGTTTAGGGTTTAGGGCAAGAAGAAGAATCCCAGGCTGGGCTATGACGTCGCAGGGGTCGTCAAAGCTCTTGGCACTGGTTGCAAGCGGCTGCAAGTTGGCGAAGAAGTCTGGGGCGAGGTGGCTCCTGGGGTTTGCCGAAACTGTGGGCCTTTGCGGTTTAGGACGAAGCGTTTTGACGCTCAGGTCATTGAGGGTTTTGGCTCGTAAGTGGTGGCCACGAAACTATGACCCTTAAATCTAAAACCCCAGGCTTGGAGTCACTATGTGTTGCCAAGCTTTCTTTAGTGCCCCAAATGCTAGCTGACTACGGCTGGCTCCAGAACAGCAAGCACCAATTTTGCCGCATGGCTTGCGGCCGTTTCCTGCCGCATGGCTCGCAGTTGAAAAACGCAGTTTTTTGTCACCCACAAACCCTAAACCCTAAACCCTAAACCCCTGCATTTGCAAAACACAGCTTTGCTGCCCTGACTGCTCTCAGCACAGCATCGCCGCATCACCGGCCGGCTTTGCCCACAGTCTTTTTGCCGCAAGCCTTCTTCCACACACGTTTTGCCCTAAACCCTAAACCCTAAACCCGAAAAGGCCTCATGTTTCTGTTCTTTCGAGAAAGCCCGAGGGGCACGGTTTGAGAGTTCAAGGGACCACGGAAAGCCACGGGCATCTTCTCAGAACCCTGCCTGGTAGCCCAGTGGTGCCCTTTACCCTTTTTTGGGTTCTGGATTCCCTCATAAAGTAACCAACCAAAAGAAGGGTGCTCTGATGATAATATGGTTACTGGGCTACTAAGCCTACTGTCGAATGGCAACGCCAGATCTGCCACAGTTTTCATACCCATGTTTGCCGCAAGATTTCGTGGCATGTGGTGAACATACCCTAAACCCTAAACCCTAGGCCCTAAACCCTAAACCCTGACGAAGTGGGCCTTGGCAATTCACAACCAGAGCTGAGGATCAAGGCTTTTGCGTAGCTCCAGGATTTGTTGTTGCAGAAGCTCTGCCCGATTCGGTGCAGTCGGTTTTCGGCTGGCTTGAAGGTTTGCAATGAGCGAAGGCCACAACTTTGCTGGAGTCGCTCACAACTGCTGGCACCTTCGCCCAGTATGACGCTGGGTCGAGTTTTGGTGTGTTTGGTTTTCTAGCTCTGAACCCCAAAGCCCGAAACCCTCCGAAGCTCTACAGTCTCGACAGTCTATACCCTAAACCCTAAACCCTAAACCCTCTACAGTAAGCCTCAAAATCATCAACCGAGGCCGTCGTCTCTGAGTCGGTCTTGGGGCTGAAGCCCAAATCTCTCAGTGCCGCGGCGACGATACTTCGGGGTTCTTGTTCAGGGCTTGTGGTGGCTGAGGGAAGCCACAAGGTTTAGGGTTTAGGGTTTAGGGTTTAGGGTTCAGGGCTTGTGGTGGCTCAGGGAAGCCACGGAAAATAGCAACAACAACAAAAACGAAACAACAGAAGCTTCGGGTCAGGCCCTGCAACCCTGAAACCGCGCTGAGCCTTCAACCTTACTCGAGGTTGGTGCGGAATGACGTGGGGGGTCCTCGGCTTTCCTTTTCAAGCCGAAGCCCCCAAGCCACAGCGCTGTATGCAGCGCAAAGCCCATGTCACACTGTGCCATAGAGAAAGGGCGCATGACATCTCGATGCCCAGCAAAAGAAAGGCACACAAATGACACACAAATGCACACAAAACCCTGAACCCTAAAGACCCTAAAGACCCTAAAAACCCTAAAAACCCTAAGAACCCCAAGAACCCTAAGAACCCTAAAACCCTTAAAAACCCTAAAAACCCTAAAATCCCGAAAATCCCGAAAATCCCCAAGCCCTAAACCCTAGCCCTAAACCCTAAACCTCGGAGGCATGCTGGAGGCTGGCGCCATGCCCATGGTGGCCCTCACGGGCCTCGAGTCCCTGCGCTGGGCTGCGCGTGGCCCCCACTTCCAGAGCCCTGGGGAGGAATTTTAGGGTTTAGGGTTTAGGGTTTAGGGTTTAGGGTTTAGGGTTTAGGGTTTGCTGTGATAGGGCGTAGATGCTGTGAAGGTTAGGTTTTCGAACAAGCTCGAAAGCTTCGTGAGGTGCGAAGAGCAGCTTTGGCTCGACTGTGGAGGGCCATCTAACACTTTTCTCCCACCCGACACTGTCCGAGGCGGCAAAGCCACCCAAACCTATTCCTTTCATCCATTTTGGGACGTTCCGTCAGGGGGTTGTGGGTTCCTGGGTCCGAGAGCCACCCTGTGTCAGGGAAGGCAGGGGGGTCCCGTTTCAGCAAACAATCTCAGAGCCCGGTTGCGGCGAGAGGTCCGGGAGCCCCCTTTGCTGGGGGCCCCCCCCTCGGAACACAAGGTCGCCCATCTAGGTTTAGGGTTATGAACTGCTGCCAGGCCCATTGGAGGTGTGGGAGGCGGACGAACGACCTGGGTCGGCTTGCGCCATCGAGGTCGAGGGGCTTAGGCACCGCCCCCCAACTGTAGGGGCGGCCGAGGCCTTGAGTTTAGGATTTAGGGTTTAGGGTTTAGGGGTGCCAGAGCCTGGGGAGGAATTTGGTTTTTTTGGGGCGTTTAGGGGGTTTAGGGTTGAACGGGGGTTTAGGGTTTAGGGCCTTGGGGTTTAGGGTTTGGATTGGGGGGCTTGGTCCGTTGGGTCCTATAGTCCTTAGGGGTTTAGGGTTTTTAGGTTAGGCCTAAATCCTCAAAAGAGGTTATCTCGGTTTGAGGGGTTCTGGTTCTGGAGAGTCTGGGGAGTCTGGAGAGTTGAGGATGAGGCCCGCGGATCCAGATGAAAACCCGAAATCCTAAACCTTCAGCCCTAAACACTACACCCCCAACCTCAGAGCCCCGCCCCCAAGAACCAGACATCATGCCAAGGGACTCTAACACCACAGTGCTGGTCCTGGGTGGCAGCGCCTTGCCTGGCTGTTCTTTGTAGGGAATGAGGGAATGAGGTACCCTATATAATCCCTTAAAAGGGTATATAGTAGGGAATGAGGGAATGAGGGAATGAGGTACCCTGTACAATCCCCTAAAGGGAAAATTTAGGGCCCCAGGGGGCTGTGGGTGGATTTGTGCTTTGTCCACCGTGTAGCGGAGGATCCCTTGAAGAGGACTTAGCCAGCTGTTCGGGCGCCAGGGCCGTGGAGACAGGGATGCTCGCATGAAGCTGCTTTTCCTGAATCCGCAGCCCAAAGCCGAACTCAGCCGAACTCGCGTGCCCACCTTGTGCCGTGGGAGTATCGGCAGCCCTCGACCTTTCCCTAAACCCTGAACCCTAAACCCTAAACCCCCCCAAAGGCAACTTCAAGATGCACCTAAGGCGGCGGTACGGGTCACATGGGCATTCAGCTGGCGAAGGCTGGACAATGTGAGCTGCCAAGCTCCACAAGATGAAGAGACCTACCTTTTCACCGGGCATCAGACGGGAATCAGAGGGCTGAGGCGTTAGCTTTTGGGGTTTAAGTTGGGATGTTCCATAGGGATTATAGTAACCCCCTCCCCCTATTATTCCCAGTTCAGAACTGTTAGTATAAGGGGGAACATCCCAAGGTTTAAGTTCGGTTCAAGCTTCCGAACTCCGGGCCTTCGGGCTTAGGGCTTGGGTGACGCAGGCAATGGGCGCGGCTCGGGTCATCACGACCTGCTCCGAGACGCACGCGAGCTTCGTTCGGAAGTTGGGCGCGGATCAGGTCATCGATGCTCGGGCGATGCACGGACCAATCCCTAAACCCTAAACTCTTCCCCTGGTCCTACTCAAGGATGAGGGCCCGAGGCCCCAGCTTTGAGGTTAATTGGCCATTTTCCTTGGGGTTTGAAAGCTTGAGCCCTCCAGGCTTAGAGGTCGCAACTTGTTGCACCCTAAGTCGGAAGGCCCAACCTTGGTGCGGTTCTGTATGACTTCGAGGGCTTGGGAGGTGGACGTGCTCACGGGCCAGTGCTGTTTGTGCCGAGGGCCTTGAAGGATTTTTTTTGGGGGGGGGGGGGGGGGGGGGGGGGGGTGGAGGGTTTTTGGACGGGGTGTAAGGAGGTCAAGCTTCAGGCCTAGTTACCTACTGCCCTGATCTTGCCAAGGACTACCACAAGCAGAACTACTACGACGTGCTCCCGCCGAAGTCCGTTGACGTAGTCTACGATTGTGTCGGCCTCGACGGCACAGGAGATCATGCCTTTGGGATCATCAAGACCCACGGCAGCTTCGTAACGCCCCAAGCTCAGCACTTCACCGGAGGGGCATGTAGGTGGTGCATGGCGATCTTATGAAGGCAACCTGCGCTCACCTCTGCTCCCCAAACCCTCAAGGGTTCCGACATAACTCTCCTTCATGAGGTGGGGCCGGGGGGGAAGATTGCACGACGCAAGCTTTTGTCCCAGTTGGTTCCTGTATGAATACGATACCACGCGATGAGCCTCGAACAGCACGCCCTCACGTCCTCTGCCTGAGGCTCTTGCAGGGTGCGAAGGCCTCGATTTCCACGAGAGTTTCGCGCCCGGATGTGCGTCAGTATGCGCCAACATGCACCTGGCCTTCTTGAGTTTAGGGTCTAGGGTTTAGGGCTTAGGGCTTTACAGCGCCTATTTTTGTTCTTTGGCTTGAACTCTTCGCCCAAGCTTCAAGCAGCACCTAGGCGTGGGGAGCTGTTCGCAACATGGGCGGATTGATGCTGACGCTCGCCAAGAAAGCAAGAGCGGCTGCCAGCTGTCTGGGTAGCATGCTCAACTCCAAGCCCAAATCTATTTGTTGCCATTATCACGCTTGCAACAGTCATGGGCAAATTTTGCTTTGACAAAGAGAGCGTTAGTGCTTGCAGTTTGTTCGGGGGTAGTAGAATTCGGAAGCCATGGATGCTGCAGCACCCTAACCCCTAGCCTATTACCCCAGATCACTGAAAGCCTGTGTCCTTGAGACCGTCAGCAACTTCTTACGAGAGCCTCAACAGCAGTGATTGAGTGAGGTTTCAGGCTTGCAGGTGATATTACACTAGGCAACTTCCAGAATCTCTGAACCCTACATCTTACATCCTGTACTGCAGGAACTATAAAACCCCAAGCCCGAAGACCATAGCAACCACAAAGACGCTGTGAACTGAATCTTGGGATGTTCCCCCTGATACTAAGAGTATTCAGGATTCCCGGACCACCCGTACTATAATCCCTATTAAGGGTTGCCAGTATAAACCCTAAACCCTAAACCCTAAACCCTAAACCCTAAACCCTAAACCCTAAACCCTAAACCCTAAACCCTAAACCCTAAACCCTAAACCCTAAACCGAACATCCCCAAGAACTGAGGTCGCAGCCTATGTGGAGAAAGGCCAGCTGCAAGTTCACATCGATCAGGTCTTCGGCTTGGAAGACATTGAGCCTTGGGCGAAGGGTTCAGGGTTTGGGGTTTAGGGTTCAGGGTTTAGGGTTTAGGGTTTCGGGAGCCTTGGGCAAAGGGTCAGGCAAGGGCTCGTGTTTGCGGCTTACGAGAGGGGCCGGAATAATTACGAACAGTATTCCCTTGTGGTCCCTACATCATTATGCTAATAAAAACCTCCAAAACCCTCTTCTAATTATTAAGGCTCTTAAAATTAAGGCCCCTGTATTAAGGGGGTTCAGAGTTTTGGGAGCCTAGAGAACTGACCATTTCGGCTTTGCGTTTGAAAACTGCTGGAAGAGACTTCAGGTTTAGGGTTTAGGGTTTAGGGTTCAAGTTTTTGTTGGGAACTGCCGGTTGGGTTTGGTCTGTCTAGCGGCTGCCTGAGACTGAAGGGGTTCGTTTCTATGTTGCGCTGACAGCTGTTACCGAGGTGAAAGCTTTCAACCAGTCGCTCTCTGGGCACACCACTGGCAAAGTGGCCCTGCAGATGGCGAAGTCAGCGCGGCTCCAGATGTTGGTCTGAGCTGTGCAGAAAAGGTGACAGCCTGCTTAGAGCTGCGGGGTTAGGGTGGAGGGTTTAGGGAGTTTAGGGTTTTGGGGTGTAGGGTTTAGGGTTGAGGGTTTAGGGCTTTGTCTCATGGATCATACCGATATGGACACACACACACACACTCACCCGAAACTAGCACACTGAAGTTGTGGCTCACTCAGGTCAGCACAATTCAAGATTCAGAGCGGCAAGCGGGATGCCAGTTTCGACTAGCTTGACCACTAGCACCAGCTTTCTCATGATTCTCCATCGGCTGCTATTACTCTGCAAGCCTGTCCGTGCCCTATCTGTGTCAGTGCTGACCAGCTTGGCTTGTTGAGTCGTTTGCTAATGGCACTCGTGTAGTTGCACGCATGTAACTAGCTTTGCACAGCTCAAACCGCTGATGAGCCTTGTAGAAAGCCTCTCGCCATGCAAAAATCCAAAACTACGGCGCAGTCTGAAAGAATGGTCCATGAACTCCCCATCCCCAAGCCACAAACCCACCAGAAAGGATGTCCATAACCTGCACAGGCGACGTTGTACGAAGCCTTCAGTTCGGCTGGGAATGTCGCGTGTGGCACTTAGGTCCATGAAAAAATGGGGCTAGGTCTAGGTCCAGGGTTCAGGGTTTCGGTCAACCACAGCGTGGCTCCGTTGTGTGCTGTTTTTGTTGTAGTTTGAGGACATCGCTTTTGCAACCGAGTTCCACCAGCATGCCAAAGATGCAGCAGTATGAATCCGGAGACATCTCGGTCACTTGCTGGTCCCATCCAGATAGTCTAGCATGTTCGGTGGAAGCATTGAGCGGCCGCTTCATTTTTATCAACCCTAGACCCTAAACCCTAACCCTAAACCCTCAACCCTCAACCCTCAGACCTCAGAACCCTAAACCCTAAACCTTTTTTTTGTATAACGGTGCTTAATTCGCTCTTATCGACCTTAAAGTTGCAACTACAGCTGTGTGCTTGCCGACTTGCCGCGGCCTTCCTTGATGAGGTCCGTTTAGGGTTTAGGGGTTTAGGGGTTAGGGTTTAGGGTTTAGGGTTTAGGGTTTGGGACCTCACGGAACGTGTGCTGAAAGCAGTCTGTGCGACCGTGACGGTTACCGAGTACAGTATACACTCAGCGCACGCAGGAAAACAGTAAAGACATAAATAAGCAGAATACGTAATGCAATACAATATGATGCAATATAATGGAATATAATATATCATATAACAACAAAATTCACACACCTACAAAATACCACAGAGACTAGCGCACTCGCTTGATACTTTGCAGGTCCTGCCGCGTCTGCCGGGACAACGCAACCCGGAAGTGCCGGTCTCGGGAAACTCCGTTTTCTTTTTCATTTGGCTTTCCTAAACCCTAACCCGAAACCCTAAACCCTAAACCCTTTTAGGGTTTCGGGTTTGGGGTTCTTTTTTTTTTGGGGGGGGGGGGAATCGAAGCCAAGGAGGCCGTTAAGGGCTCTTGCTTTTGCTTGCGTGAATTCCCAAGGTTTTGTTTGCAGTCTGTTCTTCTGGCATGTTCGCAAGGTTCGGCTTTTCTCTTGAAGTTTCCTGGTCTAGAGCGAAGGGTTCTTCCGGGAATTATGATTCGGGACCAGGACCCCTTGTTAGGGGTCCTGTATACGGGCCTAAACCCAAAGCCTAAACCCTAAACCCCAAACCCTAAACCCCAAACCCCAAACCCTAAACCCTAAACCCCAAACCCTAAACCCCAAACCCTAAACCCCAAACCCTAAACCCTAAACCCTACGGCTGCTGAAGTTCTGATGAAAGCGCCCCAAGAACTCTTCAACTCAGAGCTCCGGAAGCCGCTCCTAGGGTTTGGGCTTTAGGGTTTAGGGTTTAGGGTTTAGGGTTTAGGGTTTAGGGAAACGATTTGCCCTGGAGTTCAAGACTGAGGTCGCTGGGCTACGGGTATGTGAACTACTACAGCGTCCAGGACGCCGAGAGGGCTCTCGAAACGCTGACCCCTGGCTGCTTGAAATGGGTTTAGGGTTTAGGGCTTGTTTAGGGCTTAGGGTTTAGAGTTTAGGGTTTAGGGGTGTCCTACTTGGAGGTGCATGGTACTCATTATAAGCCCCTTAGGTGCCCAATATAGTTGTAAGTTTTGTTACAAGTACAGATACAGTTGGTAAGTACCATGAAGATTCCTACCTTGTGGACCAAATGAACCTTGAAATTGGGGGTCCTTTACCCTAGACTACTATAACCGCTATGAAGGTATATGAGCCATAAACCCTTTTAGGGTTCATTTCGTCCCCGAGGTAGCTCTCCAGAAATGCAGGCCTACAGGGTTTAGGGGTGCAGGGTTGTTTTCGGGCTTCTTAAGGGTTGGACTTTTGAACGACTGGACCTGTTGCTGCTTTATGACGATCCAAAGGTTCTCGGGCTTAGAAGGTTAAGAATTGCAAAATATACATCACTAGCGCATGAGGATCGGTGCTTGGCCACTGGAGTTCAGGCCGAAGGTCTTGGGTTTAGGGTTTAGGGTTTAGGGGGTTTAGGGGGTTTAGGGTTTAGGGGGCTGCCAAGTGCCACTTTAAAGATCTGGGCAGCACGCGCTATAGGAGCGAGGAACCGGACGTAGCCTTGTGGAACGGATCCCAAGAGCAGCCAAGGAACTACATGAGCATCAAGGCTCACGTGACGGCTGGGAAAACCGGGGAAGGTTGCCCCCAGAAGTGAGCATCATCCCTGACGTGCCCTCAAGCCCCCAAAGCAACCCAAAGCCTCTCTGGACCGAGAGTTCATGTTGGGATGCAGTTGCTGGCTGCACGAGGTTTCGAGGTTTTTGTTCCTGGCGCCCCTCCGTCGTTTTGGGACGAATCGATGCTTGCAGAGGTTGTGTCCTGAGTTGCGCAGCCCAAAAAATTAAAAGAATCAGCAAGCGGCTTGCAAGTGTCGCAAGGCTGTGGCGTTACAAGATGAGCTAGGATTCGAGGTTCCCTACGTTTTTACGCATACAAGGGGCACCCTCTAAAATCCTAGGCCACAGGGCAACCTAGTGGGTGTCTTTGCATTCTTAAGGCCAGATTCCTGTGGAGGAACTCGCAACCTAAGCTGGGGTCCGAAGCCCCGCGCCTCAGCCCTGAACCCCCTAAAGGCCTATGGTTTGGGATCGTAGGCCCTTTTGCATTACGGGCTCTAGGGTTTTAGGGTATAGGGCTTTGGGGTTGTAGGGCTTTCGGGTCTGAGGACTAGGCGGACCCTGCGCCCCCTTCAACCCGAGACGCCTTCCAGGGCAAGCCATGCCGCGTGATGTGGAGCCAGAGGGATCCCGAGCGCCGGAGGACCAGTGTGGTCAGTGCAGTGGCCATCCTTCTGAAGTTTCGGGTTTAGGGTTTAGGGTTTAGGGTTTAGGGTTTAGGGTTTAGGGTTTAGGGTTTAGGGTACCCGAAGCCATGAACCCTAATCCAGATTCTCGAGAGACACGCAGATAGCAGGGATGGGCCAGGCCACATGCCCAGCTGCAGATGCAGGGCCCTAGATTTCGGGTCGAGGGGTCCGGGGTTGTGAACTTGCACGGGGACGCATGGGGACATGGGGGTTTACGCTAAAAGGGGACCCCTGAAAAAGATCCCGAAATAGTAGGATTCCCTTATAACGAGGACCCCAATAAGGTACCCCCCTAATTTCGGAAACCCCGACATTGTGCAGGAATACCGCCAGCAACATCTTCGTCGTGCCGGCCGTTTATGGAGCCCAGTTTTTTCTGTGGCAATTTTTCCATGGCTGCACTACTATTCGCTTAAGAACCCCCCCCCCAACCCCCAAACAAAAAAAACATTACCTGCGTAAGGAGGGGGTTCTTCTCCACGTCGTAGTTCAGGGGATGCGGCGACGGTTGCGCACAGAATGTAGGGTTTAGGGTTTAGGGTTTAGGGTTTTCAGCTGGGGTAGCTTGAAAGGAAGAGGTGGCTAGGCGGCGGTGATACAAGCTGTCTCGCTATCTTGAGCGCGATCACTTTTGGGGGTTGTTAGTCATCGATTTGGCGGCCGCGATAGCGCAGAGATGGCGCTGTAGCAAAGCCGGGCTTGGATTGTTTTTAGCTTTCTGGCTTGGAACTTCTCCGGGACATATGGGGTCATTTTGCGAGTAGGCATTGCGATCAACTGCCGCATGGGGGAGATGGAGCAGTAAAAAATATGACAGAATCGTACCGTGTGCGCTTCCAATCAGCCAGTCTCATCCAGATTCGTCTCCTTTGTTCTGGTCGGTGACACGTGTTGGCGTGTTCTTGCGGTCAGATGCGAAGAATCCCATCCGCTGCTAGAACCACGTCCTTGGAGCAAACTAAAAACTGTTTGTGCCACTACCCACTTGACGATTTCACTGACGGTGCAAGTTACCTTCATCAGAATCGGCTCCTGCGCTCTCAGAAGACTTTAAACAGGAGCATTTGGGGGTTTCCGAAGGGTACTGCACCTATTCTTGGGGTCCTTTCTTTATGCGAATCCACTATTTGGGGTCTAAAACCCCCCATTTTTTGGCCAATGGCAGGTGAAAGGGTTGGATCCGACGATCGACAATAAGGCCCGGACATCTCAAGGTCTGTTTTTTTTCTCAAACTCAGCTGCCAAGCACCTGAACTGCCCTTGCCAGCAGCGGTTGCCGGTTGCTGTGCTTAATTATTGCGAAGGCCCAGCTCCAAACCCTCAATCCAAGGCTTACAAGGTTGCATGGGACCCTCTCAAAGTCTTTAGGACCCCGAAACCGCACGCCACTCCCGCCATCGCGCAACGAAGGCCTTGCACGATACCTTTAGCGTCTTCGGGAACATCCTCTCTTGCAAGGCCGTGGAGGATGGTCACGAGATTGGGTGGTTGGGCTTTTCGTGTAAACTTTAGTGACTAAACCCTATACCCTTTGAACCTTAAACCTTAACCCAACCCGAAGCCCAATTATGTGGTCTTGCCAAAGTTAGAGGTGGGGGGGGGGGGGGGGGGGGGGCGGTTGCTAAGTCCAGGGAGGCCAGGCACTGTTTGGTGTGGCTTTGGGGCTTTGGAGGGTTGGAGTTGGGTGCTTGTGGTTTAGGCCACCGACAGTCTGGAGAGCTTCGGCATGCTTTTCGTGTTGTGGAGGTCTCCAGACATTACATGGAGATTGGAGTACGTGTTGATCCCTTGAAGTCAACCTGACATCACCCCCCCCCACCCCCCCCCCTCAAAAAGGCACAACAATGCGGGGGCGGGTTGTTGTTTGGACTTTTATGTCCGCGCGTGGAAGTGGATAGAACTGTCGCTGAAGAGGTTTGCATTCGATCAGATTTCAAGGAAGAATAGTCATTGAAAAGTCGTGTGCTCGTTGAACCCATATGCTTCATCTGGCGAAGCCAGGCTCGCACAGTGAACCTTCTGAACCCAAAATGCGCAAACCCACCCTCTTAAGGCCCCTTGAAACCCTGACCCGAGCAACGAAACCTGAAGCCTCGCGCGAGCCAAGCAGGTGTCGACAGACAACAACGGCAAGTCACGAGGCTATGGCTTCGTCCACTACGAGGCTGCGCAGAGCTGCATCCAAATACGCTATCTGCCCAGAAATATCGAAAGCTTCTAGTGCGTAGGGCTTCGGCCTCAAGGCACATGCCCTGCCAGCTTTACCTTGCAGGCCCATTTTAACACCGGAACCTCAGCTTTTGTTGCACTCACTGGAACAAGCAGGGACAGCACCAACCAAGGCGAAGACCCCTAAATGCCCCCAAATCCTTTCTTCCCTTAGCTTGGTGGCCCAGTGGTCTAGTTTCCAGGTTCCCTTAAACAGACCAAGATAAGGACTACCCGAAACAGCAGCAAGGTGTGAGGTGTTCGGCCGTTCTGTATAGGCTTGTGGATGGAGCCCTGGAGACCCAAACCTAAACTTCCTAAGCTCACACATTCTTAGGGATTAGGGTTTAGGGTTTAGGGTTTAGGAACCCTACTCAACCCCACCCTGAAAGGCCGAGGAAGCGGCGAAGATCGCCATAGAGAAAGTCAATGGCGACTCGGTCCGACAATCATGAGCGCCGATGGCGCCCGAAGCCCTAAAAGGGCGCAGCTCTTGAGTCCATACCAGTTTAGGGATTAGGGTTTAGGGTTTAGGGTTCAAGAGCCAGGTCCTTCACAGCAACACTCATGACCGACAATAGCTGTATAAAGATAAGAGCGGCGGACTCGGTCCCCGTCTCGGTCCCGACATGTCCCTACCGCCTCTATTCTCAAGCTGCCCAGAAACCCTTGAAGAACCGCCCTCAGGCATGAAAATCGCCAACAGCACGGTCTTCGTAGGCCCCTTCATCAAGCGCGAGGCCGCGTGCTTGCGGAGGGGATGGGATTCTCGGGGGCGTAGTGGGGTTTTGGGTGCTTTAGCACTCGGAGCATCGGGGGCTTGAATGTTCAACCCGCCCTCAACTCAAGGCTGGCGACTTCGAATATCTTTAGGACTTTGAGGCCTTCGTTTTGGGGTGATGAGGTGGGTGCTTCCTGAACAGGAACGAGGTGAAGAGACCATCGTGGAGAACTACACCAACCTCTACATCAAGAACATGCCTCCTGCCGCTGCCCAAGCATGGAGGATCCGGGCCACCGGAAGTCTCAACCTGCTGCTGAAATCCTCAATCCAGGACCGCAAACTCCGTAGTCGAGAGACTGCCAGCACAGGGTTTGGAGTCTAAAGTGTAGAGTTGGAGGGTTTCCGATATGGGGTTTTTCTTATAAGGGAATATTATTATTTGGGGGGGACTATACTAGAGGTCCCTTATCTTCGAAAACCCCCAGTTGTAGGTGCAAGGGTGCACGTTGACCACTGCACTCACATTGTTCTAAGACATGGGACGACGCCAAAGTGGCGGCACTGTTCGGTGAGTTCGGCGAGGTGCTCTCGCGGGCTTGTGGCAATGGGTGCACAAATTGGGGCACAAATCAGGGGCACTTTGCTAAAACTTTCAAGGAAGGAGGTGTCGCAAGGGACTCTAATGGATTTCGGGGCGCGCTTTGTTGTGTTAACCGATGTGGGGACAGGAGCTGAAGCGAGGTTCGGGGGCAGGGTTCGCATGTGGCGCTCCGGGTGCAACGGGACCAACTCGCACAAATTCTGCAGGTCTCGAACATCTGTTGGGATGTTTGTATACTAACAGTCCTCAATCGAGATCCCAAAACGTCTGCATTAAATCAGTATTGTTCAGTTTTGGGAGCTTCGGCTTGCCTGAAAGAGTCCAAAAGACTTGATGAGCAGTGCAGCTATGCCTTTCATGCGGCTTTGGTACGCAGCGCGGTTTGCTTTTGGACGGTTGAAGGTTATCCAGCAATGTATAGGGGTGCATCCTTGTCGAACTTGCGACTGAGGCTGTGTGAGAGTTTGGAGAACTCCAGAATCACGGAGCTCAGAAAGGATGGAGCTTTTCCTAGAAAGGCTCTGCAAAGCTGACAGAAAGGCCTTGTGAAAATCGAACATAGAGAAGCTCACAAAAATCAGCATCCCTCTAGGCCCCCACCCTGAACCCTTCGTCCTGTCCTCACGCTTCAGCCTTCTTCCTCATCTTCGAAGCCTTCCGGGGCCTCCACCCCTACAGCTCTGCCACGCCCCCACCCCACCCCCGCCCCCCCCCTCCCCCAAAGCTTCAGTCGACTTGCCAGGTGTCCTCCTCCGTGCTTTTGAACACAGAGGACGGCAAGAGGCCAGCTGTCTAAGATGCCCAGACCTTACCCCTAAACCCTAAACCGTAAACCCTAAACCCTACACCCTAAATGACCCTAAGCTTCCTCGAGCCTGGTGTCCTTGAAACTTCATTCCTCTCGACCTCGGAGCCTCGCCCTTCGAAGGTTCCGAGCGCGCAGAGCACTTTCCGCTTCTACTGTTTGCGTAAGAATCCCCCCGCCCCCCCAAAAAAACAAAGAATTACGGATTTGTTCCTTCCTGATAAGGGCAATACAGGATCTTTCAATTTGTTTTTCGTATTTTGGGGTTCTTAAGGTAGCACTTGCCCCGATTTTCCTTGGAAGGCTGAGCGAAACGGAGGTGGCTTTCTTGGGCTCGAGGTTTCAACTGTTCAACAGTGGTTGCAGGGTTGAGGGCGTGGGAGCTGAGAGTCGCACACCGAGCCCCCCCTCAGGACCCTAAGGACTTCAACATCCAAGAGTTGCGCCGAAGGCCCCCCACCCCCCAAAAAGCAAAAAAAGCAAAACAGACTTGATGCCCTGAGTCCCTCAAGCTATGGCCTTCACTGCGTTCCGGTTTGGGGCTTAGGGTTAGGGTTTAGGGTTCAGGATGAAGCAACAGTCCCATAAGCCCCCTTAAGAGCTGAATCGCTTGTTTCAGGTTTGCGCTCGTCAACTACAAGACCGCAGAAGCTGCCAAAGCGGCAGTCGACGCACTGCATAGGACCCGGGTTTCGGGGTTTCGGGTTTAGGGTTTAGAAACTTTGGGTTTAGGGTAAAAGGTTTCGGGTTTAGGGTGCAGGCTTTAGGGTTTAGCAAGGGTTTCCTGGGCTGGGGCGTATTTTTCCGCGGATTTTCGGGCCCTGGAGTGAAGAGAACCGCCCACAACGCCACAACATCCTGTCCCCCCGAACCGGAAAGGAAGGACATGCGCCCGGAGCTCGGGGAGGAGGCCCTGCCAAGCCTGTATCTCAACTTCGCCTCCCCTCTTGGCAAGGCTTTGAGGAGGGTTCTGGAGGGCTTCGGGAAGGCTCAGAGGTCGGAATCCTCTCAAAGGTGAAGGGTTTTGAGAGCTTCTTTGAGGGTTTCGGGTTTGGGTTCAGGGTCTCGGGGTTTCGGGCAGTTTCGGTGTACTCTGCTCACGACAGCCGGAGGCAGCCACCGAAACCCCGAAGGAAGCCGCCGCTCCAGATGCTGACAAAGGCTCCGAAGACTGGGCTTGTTGGAGTAGTCAAGATGTGGGACTTTAGGGTTTAGGGTTTAGGGTGTGGGACTAACCCTCCATTGATGGTGAAAACGAGTTGGGCTTCTACTACTTGCTTAAGAGCCCCAAATCAAGAAAAAAAGCCTTCCACATAAGGGCATTATAGGGATTATTATCTCTTTTCTTGTTTTTTTTTTGGGGGGGGGGGAGTCTTAAGCAAAGAGTAGGCTTCGAGTTTCATTGAGCCCTTGGCAGGTGAGGACTCCAAAGAAGGCGAGGAGGAGGAGAAGGACCCCCGTGACTCCAAACGGTCCGGCCGACGGTCCTCCTCGATTTGACCCCTACCCCCGCCTACTCGAACCCTACCTTAAGTAAATAGAGCCAGACAGCCAGAGAGCAAAGAGAGCAAAGAGAGAGAGGGAAAGAGAGAGAGTGAGAGAGAGCACGAGCGAGAGAGCGACCTCTTTTAACCGAAGGATAAGGATGCCAGCGAGGAGAAGGAGGGAGACAAGGAGAAGGAAGAGGGCGAGGCACCGCCGTGAAGTTGAAGGGGGCTCCAGAGGGAACAGGGCTTTGGGGCTTCAGGGGTTTTGGAACAGACTTCGAGGTATGGGGCTCGTTAAAGGTTCAGGGAAACCCCGGTCCCTGGTGCGGCATGGGATTTAAGGATGTGTTCAGAGTTTTTGCGTTGCACTGCTTGGGGCTCAGAGCTTTTAGCGCTGCAAAATAGGTTGGGGTCTGACAAGCCTTCGGGTCTGCGGTGGGATCGTGAGCAGAGCTTTACCTTGAGGCTCTACCGAACCCTCTTCTCCTAGCTGAGCTCTCGACGCCTGCGCAGGCGTATCGTGTTTTGTTCAGGAGGTGACGGTTTGACAAGGGCCCCGAAAACCCTAAATCGCACCAAGGCCCCGAGAATCTTAGCGATCCTACTCCCGACTAAGACTTAGGGTGTACAGGTAAGTTGCTCTGCATCCTTAACTGTCTTGGCCGAAAGCCCTGACAAAGCGCCTATCAAAGCATCCCGGTCCTTACACCATGTAATTCCCGAAAAAAGGAAAAGAAAACCCAACACCCAAAACGGCCCAAACTCCACAAAACTCCCAAACTCTCAAAGCCACAAACTCCCTCTACCCTGAAAGCCCCCAAGCCTTGCGGCTGAGCAGGATCACCCCGACTACCTCCTCTACGTCCAAAGGGCTCAGACCCGACTGCCCGGCACGGCTTTGGCGGGCCTCGAACCTCGTGGACCAAATGAACCTTAAAATTGGGGGTCATATATTGCCCTATACTACTATATAACCCCTACTAAGGTCTATGAACCATAAACCCTTTTTCGTATCATATTATTACCCTATACTACTATAACCCCTATTAAGGTCTATGAAGCATAAACCCTTTGGGGTTCATCTGGTAGAGGTTGTTTGGTAGGTTCGCGTTGTGATTTGGGGCTTTGGGTTTGCTGGGGGTTTGATGAAGGTGTCGTAGTGTTTTGGCCAAGGTGCTGTCGAAGGGCTGGCTTTTCGGTGGTGGGCAGTGTAGATGTGGTGTTTGTGGTTGGGTGGTTGGGTTTTAGGGTTCAGGGATGTTCAGGGTCTAGGGGTTGTAGGGGTTTAGATCCAGGCACTGAGCCGTGTGGCATTCCTCAAGGAGGCTTTGCAACCTGCGGCTTTCTGCCTAAGATTCGAGTTGCCGGCAGGATCCACATCCCAAACTCAAAAGAACACTGAACACGTGCTTTGGGGTTGAGGGTTCAGGTGTTAGGAGCGGGTATGGGGCTTGCGGTTTTGAGGTCTTAGAATGCCGTTCTCCCGCCCTGCTATCAAGACAGCTGCATGCAGAATTCGTAGCTTTCTGCTATCACTATCTGGGCACGCGCCCATGGTCTCGGCCCACATGCAGGTCTGGGGCGCAAACTTGGTTTCAGGAGTTTTTCTCAAAAAGAGGTCTATACAGAAGATTCTAGGGAGTGAGTGGAGTGGAGTGAATTTGGGCACCTTAGGTGCATGACGCTGAGGCCTAGCATGCTCTCGCCACAAGAAGGTCTTGCAGCACAAGCCTTGTCTATAGCCCCCCATTATACTTGCTATTTTTATTTATTATATACTATGAAACCCAAGGGAGTATTGAAAATAATATTTGTTACAAAGTTTCTAAGGGGGAGTATAGCTGTTAAAGCCTTTGGACGGCATGAGCCCCGCTGGGCGTGGCAGCGTGCGGCCAAAGCAGCCGCGGGCCCGAGCGCAGCGCCGCGCCGCACTGAAGTTGCACAGGCATACCTATAGGGGGCCCAGTGTCGAAGGGGGCCCTAAACCTTCAGCCAAAGCAAGAGAGGGGCCGCCCTTCAAAAAGGCCACCCCCCTACAGGGACCGTATTTAAAGAAGTGGCCGTATACTGTTCTGCCAAAGGAAAGCAACTGCAAGCTGGGAGGTGGCTATGCATCATTCCGCTCGCCATGCACGGGGAGGCAGCTCCGCTTCTTAAGCCTGGATTTGGGGAGACTGCTCAGCTTGGATTCAGGTGAATAAAACTTCAAGGGCCCCTAAACCCTAAACCCTAAACCCTAAACCCTAAACCCAAAACCCTGTGGGAGGCGCAGCAGAGACTTGAGGGCCGTCAGGGTTTTAGGTTTCGAAGTGAAGGTGTCTAAACTCGAGCCTAAACTGCCCTGAGGCGGCTCCATTTAAGTGGAACCCCAAACATGTCACTACAAAAGCTCGGACCACCGTACCTTCGGCAGGTCTACGAACCCTCGATGCCATTCCCTCAGGACTGAAACCCGAACACCATAGAGGTCATAACCTTCACCCTAAACCCTGAACCCTTAAGAGCAAACCTCAACACGGCCTCTCATTGGGCCTTTCGGATCCCTCGCAGGCGTTCCTTCCCCAGCCATGGCTTGCCTGGTCCGGACGGAGAGTCTCCAGGATTCCGTGTGCAAGCACCCTGGCGATCGTTTTTGAACGGTTTGGGGTTTAGGGTTTAGGGTTTCGGGTTTAGGGTTTAGGGCTCCCGGGCATTTTGCACCTGCCCACTTAATTGTTTTCCATGGGTTCAGAATTCGAAACAAGGCTCAGCGCCCTTATCGAAGCACTCTCAGCCGCACCCCTCAAAAAGTCGTCCATCCAAGGTGAAGCCGGTGAAGCCCTGGGTGCCAATGGCCCGTGGCCCTTGAGTGCCGCAGATGCGCGGTCGCTGGAACAGGTGCCCCCAAGCTCTTGGGATGGTTTTGGGCTATAGGGAGATTTCGGGGTTTACGCAGTTGAGACGCCCTATCTTCCGAAGACCCGACACGTGGAAATTCGGCTGGTGTGCGGCATTCTGTGTCGAGGTGATCCTGGTACACCGGCACGGCGCTCGCTTCCCCACGAAGCCCACGGGCAAGGTGGGGCAGCTCGAAGCGAAACCCTCCATTCAAGATGACGGAGTTCGATCGTCCCTACCCTACACCTACTTGGAGGCTCATGGTACTTATTAACCACTTATAACTGTACTGATAACTGTACTTATAACCACATTAGGGCACGTCAGGGGCTTACAAGTACAGTTATAGGTACAGTTATCATTGGTTAGTAAGTACCATGAACCTCCAAGCAAACGATGTTAGGAGCCAGCCCCAGCCTGCCGTTCTTGGACAGGTACAGTAGTTAAGGATACTTCGCCGCAGGCTTCTGTCGCGGGAATCTCTCCGGGCTTCTCTGAAAGTGGGCACTCCAGGGAGACTCAGCAAAGAGTCTCGGCGGGCTTCTCGAGGAGGGACTCTGGGCTTCTCCGATTCCCTGGGAGTGGGCCTGAAATTACTCGGCGGGAGCCTGTCTGCTTCTTTTTGGGGCGGGCACTCTACTGAGACTGGGCGGGACTTTCTGCCGGGCTTCTGGACTTCTGGACTTCTGGACTTCTTTCTGGGCGGCAGGACTCTGTAGGTTTCTTTGCTCTAGGAATGTTCAGCAGGGCTCTCGGCGAGGAGAACTCGGCGAGGAGGGCGAGGAGAAATGGTTGATTAAAAAAACAACGCCACACACCGGGGAACGGCATGCTAAAGCCAAAGGATCAGAAGAGGCAAGCATGCTTGTGGGAAGTGTGGGAGGCTTGGGCGGTTTCAGGCTTTGGGATATGTTCTTTAGAACCCCAAACCCCTACCCCTAAACCCCTAAACCCTAAACCCTTGAAGCACGACTCTGCAGTCCACTGGACATCCAGAGGCGGATCTGGCCTGGCCGATCCGGACGTCCTTCTGGGAAAGCTACAAAGGCCACCTGACTCCGGTGGGCAGCAAGCAGCTGCAGGACGGGGTCCTAAACCCTAAGCCCTAAACCCTCCCTCAACCCTAAACCCTAAACCCTCAGGAAGGGTCAGGCGTGAGTCTTGAGGGTAGCTGGAGAACTCCCACCATCCTTCGGCTCAAATCCCTGAAGCCTCAGGCCCAAGGACGATGAGACATTCATCAACCATTGAAGCCCTGAGCAGGAGATTGGAAACGTGCTTCGGCCTAAAATCTAAGCCCTAAACCCTAAACCCTGAGTGCCTCAAACTCCAAGCAGGAGATTGGGGACGTGCTTCGGCAGCGCTATGTTGGACGCACGCCCGGCACTGCAAGCAACCTCTTCCGGGGGATTGCGAAGATGGATGGGAGAAGCACCTCGGTCATGACTCACGCTTCGGGCGGCTTAGGGTTTAGGGTTTCGGGTTTAGGATTTCGGGTTTTTAGGGTTGCCGGATTTTTGGAGGTTTTGGGTTTGAGGATGTCAAGGTTGGAGGGTTTTAGAGTGGCAAAGAAATGGAAGAGTGTGGGGTTTTGCAACTGCCTGGGCTGTGACTCTTTTTGTGTGGGCTGCCGCACGTCTCCGCTGAGAACTTGCTCAAGGGATTCTTTTTACTTAGTAGCCCAGTGGTACCCTTTACCCTTTTTTTTGGTTACGAGTTCCCTTATAAAGTAACCGACCCAAAAAAGGGTGCCCTTATTATAATATGGTTACTGGGCTACTGGGTTTAGTTCGGCATTGCAGGCATAGCTGTTTACACCTCCAACGTGCAACGGACATTGCAGAGCGCCTGGGCTTTTCTGCTTGGTTTTGTGCCCTTGGCCGCGGTGTTCTTCGCATTCCGATCAGAGCGCGTCTTCGCGGATGCAGAGCGCCGAACTGTGGGCATCCCCATTTACATCGAGGATGCCGTCGACTCTGACGACAAGCTGTTCCATGAGTTGCTTGTAGTGCGAGAGCAATCTTTACCTACTATTTGCTTCAGAACCCCAAAAGAATAAAAACAATGGTCCCTATATTGCCCTTATTAAGGAAGAACGTTTTTAATTTTTTCGGGGTACTTAAGCAATTAGTAGTTAATCTTGCAACTCTAAGAGCTCGAATGCCTTCAGGAGGCGCCGGTTCGGAAGCCGGTTCCCAGCACCAAGGTGGAAGCTGGATGATGGCTACGAGGCCTGGAGGGCGGAGAACACAAAGCAGTCTCGCTTTCTGAAAGATGCAGCCGCCCGGCCAGAATACCGGCAACTCCTCGACAAGCTGTACAAGTGCAGCAGGGAAGAGCGATTGGCCCCAAAGAAGGGCATCATGGAAAGGCTCCTCTCTTGGGGAAACGCTTAGCAAAGATTTTTGGCTCTACCGGCTTCGGGATGAAGATTTGTGGGTTGCAGGTTCTTTCTTGGATTTCACTGCGGGGGTTCCGGTGCATTTTTTGTCCTAGGTGTGGAAGGGATGCTTTTCCTTGGTATGGGGGGCGGTGGCGGCTTTTTTAAACTAGGCACATCAGAACTGTTCTTTACTAGGTGCGTGGCAGGCCTCTGGCTTGGTAAGTCCCCTAGTACCCTAGCCCTAGTACTGCTAAGAGTAAGAGTAAGAGTAAGAAGAGTAAGAAGAGCAAGAAGAGCAAGAAGAGCAAGAGGAGTAAAAAGGCACCCAAAAACACGGCATTGCAAAAACGATGTTGTGACGAGCGTTGCCTCGGCTGATCGTACTCGACTTTTTTAGCATTATGCTGATCGTTGCTCAAGCTTCTTGGTGGTGATGTTTGCTTTTGTTGCTACTGTTCCGATGGCGGTGGGTCGCAGCCCAACCTTGCCATGCCGAGTTAACACACCTAGGAGCAAAAGACAAGCCTTGGGCTGCAAGGTCTCGTGTGTGGGCAGTTGGTAGGGTTAAGGTTTAGGGTTCCTGAGGGTTTAGGGTTGAGGGTTGAGGGTTTAGGCTTAGTTTTTAGGGTTTCGGGTTTAGCGTTTAAGGCGTCCAGGGACCAGAACTAGAGCATCGCGATCGAAAAGATCCGAAGCATGGGCCCTAGTTATGTAGAGTGCATAATACGGGTTACAAAAAACAGGGGACCCAAATTAACCTGGAACCTGAGACATTGCCCCCTCAACCAGAAGAACCTCCCAACTTCGCCCCCCGACGACGAGTTCGAAGCCTTGGAAGGCCGGAGTTGAGAAAACCCGGGAAATCCCCAGCTCCTGAGGAATCCCTAGATCCCTCCGAAAGGATTTAGAACCTTCAGAAGGCTTCAGAAGGCAACAAAAGGGCTTCCGATGGGCTTGAGAGTCCTAAATCCTTAGCCCCTCCTTAGCCCCTTGTAAGGCTCATTGCTGCCAAAGACTTGGACACGCAGGTGCGGGACGGGCAGATCTCCAAGCCTCAACTCCTGTGTGCTTATAGGGTTGTTCTGTGTGAGGTTGACACTTCATACGAAGGCTGCTGAAGCCCTCACCGCCCCAAACTCGAAATCCCAGGCTCCCCACAGCCCTAAACGCGAACCCAAGCCTCCGAAAATGCTAGTCGCCCGCAGAATGCCAGAAAGGTTGCCATCGAGGAGGCTCACAATCGTCCGGTCCTTGTCAACGAAGACGGGATTGCTATCGACGAGGCGCTTCCCAGTGAGGGTTGTCGAGTGTAATTTGGGCTCATGAAGACAAGCCCATACGTCCTAAACCCTGAAAGCTCCTCAAAATCCCTAAGCCCCTAAACCCGCTGCCACCCCCGAAAGCTTCATTTAGTCTCACGGTACTGTATGGTCTCACACGAACCCTGTAAAACATAACTCGGAATGTGTGTAGAACTCCGCCCCAAACCCTAAACCCTAGACCCTAAACCCTAAAGCCACCGAAGTCTCAGAGGAAGACCGAGCCATGCTGAAGCGCATCGGTGACGAAGTCAAACGCCGCTGGTACGGGGCGGCCTTTCGGCCGAGTCTAAACCCTCAACCCTAAACCCTAAACCCTCAACCCTAAACCCTAAACCCCGTCGGAGCTAAGGCTTTACGTGGGTCAGGGCTTCTCACGACGATGGTGTTCGAGGAAGGGCTTGAAGACGATCCTCAAGGGATGGGGATGGGGTTAAGGGTTTAGGGTTTAGGGTTTAGGGTTTAGGGTTTGGGGTTTGGGGTTTGGGGTTTAGGGTCTATAGTGACTGCTACCCCGACTTCGAGGCACCCAAGGAATCAAAGCTAGCAAAACCCTTGCCTTGAACTCGCCCCCAAGCCTCTGAGGCGTCTGGGTTGGTGGAGGAGTCCTACGGCAAGAAGGGAGCAGGCAGCCTTGCATATGTAGGGTGATAGGGTTTAGGACCGCAGCTCCAGCAGGGCTTGGGGAGGGGGGGGGGGGGATGCAGGCTACCTGGCGCACAAGATCTGCCGACACATGCAGCAGAAGGCTGCTGGCAAGTCACAGCTGCGCTTCGTTGAGATGCTGGGCCTGCAGGATGTTTCCGATTGCTGGGATCAGTTGTCCCGAGACCCTTGAAACGCAGATTCCAAAGGCGAAGTCGCAACAGAGGCCGCGGATTTAGGCTTCTGCCTTTTTGCTCTCGGCAACCAGTTGTGAGCCCTGATAAGCAAGATGCAGCCCCATGACAGCACCGGAACGCCTCCGAAAGCAGGCAGACGTGCAAGAAGGCAATCCAAATGTTCCAAACCCCAAGCTAAATTCCCTAAGCTGTCTCGGCTTCCAGGCACCCCCCCCCAGACCCCCCTGAACCCTAAACCCTAAACCCTAAACCCTAAACCCTAAACCCTAAACCCTAAACCCTAAACCCCCATTGAGAGACCGAGGATGTCCTGCCACGACACCACGCTGTGTGCGCTGGCCACTCACCTGGGCCTGGAGCTTCCCACGATCGGCTTCGGCGCCTTCTTGCTCTTCGAGCTCCACTCTTCCCAGGCAGAAGGGTTTAGGGATTAGGGTTTAGGGTTTAGGGTTTCGGGTTTCGGGTTTAGGGTTTAGGGTTTAGGTTTAGGGTTCAGGGTTCAGGGTTCAGGGTTTAGGGTTTAGGGTTTCGGGTTGCAACTCCAATTGTCAGAAGGGTCAGGGTGACAGCACCATTGAGAGGCATCGGAGAAGCAAGAAATCCTCTATATCCGTAGTCCCTCAAAAGTGACAGCACTCTTGAAAATACTCTGAGAAGCAAGAAGTACTCTTCTGGTGACCATTCGTTATGCCTTCAAAAACGAAGTAGCAACATCAGAAACGTGTCCATAGGCAATGGTTGACACGAGATGAATCCCACCTTGGAAGAAAGCAAGCCTTGAGCCCAAAAGTACATGGAGAAGAGGTTAGTTAAGCAAAGCCCGCAGAAAGTCGCCATTCAACAAAAGCCTTGGACATCAGGCAGCGGAATGGCCCAACGGCTGCAAATGGGGCTCAAGCCAGCCGTTTCCCCCCTAAAGCCCATTAACCTCCCCTGTACGGAAAAAAATTGCATGCCCTCCAAAAGAAACCCCCCAAAAATTGCCCGTGGCGAGGATGGGCACTTTGTGAAGGTCTATTTCAATTCGGACCCCGCCTCAGGGGCGGCTTCCTACTCCGGCTTGAGGCCGGACGTTGAGTGAGTTTCAAGTCCCGAGGGGCTCGCATCGGAAGCCTCACATAGGTCGAGAACCATGCTACAGATCGATTCCTTTGCACCCTGAGCACGCACCTTGAACCCTACTTCGAGGATCTCTGGTGTGGTAAACAGAAGATATATATTGAACGCGGAGAGCATGGTTAGGACACCTGCTATGAGTAGAGTTAGCAAAGACGACTTGGCGAACTTACATTGCCGCACTAAGTCGATCCATAAAGCACTCAAAGAGCAGAATCGCATCGTAAAGATGCAGACGTCAGCAGGGCAGAGGTTGCTCGCACGCGAGTTTTTTCAGCGCAATCCACCGTTGATGTGCTCAGCGGTTCAGAGTTTGAACGTCACACGGGGTGTGTTGTTGCGTTGAAATTGGGGCTGGGCTTGGAGGCTTAAGATAGGGGTCGGAAGAATTACTAGTAGCATTCCCTTATGGTCCCTTTCTTCATATACGATAACAACCCCGAAAGCCCTGTTCTAATCATTCAGGCCCCCATCGTAGGGAATTTGAGGGTTTTCGGGTTCAGTAGTCAGAGTGAGTCAAATTCATGCACTGAAAATGCAGGCCGCTCCTGCTACCGCTCGGAGAGGACATCTATATCCCCCTTGGGAATTAGTTTTTAGATTTTTTATAAAAACAAAACCCAAGAGGATATTCAACAGATTTTGTTTATCAAGGTTCTAAGGGGAGTATAGACATGGCACCCTTGGGGGTTTGGGTGCTTGTCAGGTACTCTTTGCGTTGTGCTGCGGTTTAGGGGGAATAGGGTTTAGGGTTTAGGGTTTCGGGGGAATAGGGTTTGTCAGAGCTTGACCCCTTGACTTTCCCTGCGAAGCTCCTTGAAAATGTAGCTTTGTGGTCCCGATGTCCTTGACAGACTTGACAGACCCAACCCTAAACCCAAAACCCTAACCCCTAACCCCTAAACCCTAAACCCCTCACAAAAAAGCCCGGAGTCCGCAAGCCTTAGACCAGGGCCAAAAGCCTCCAGAGTCAGGGGGGGGGCCAGTGGTTAAGGGCATGGATGGCTGGGATTCAGAGATGGAGCCTAAGATCTTTAGAGCCTCAGGCTCAAGGGGGGCTCAAGGAGGGTTGAGGAATGCCTGGCTCAGGGGTTGTTCAGCATCCTTCTGGCTTGTTTTGAGTGTGTGGTTTTGCAGGACAGGCTTGTCTCTGTCGGCCGCTGCCCGAAGGGCAGCATCCCGCTGAAGGATCTGTGTGGGCACGGTGGCTTGGCCTATCTTGGCCTAAACCTCCCGCCTTGCACCCTTGGGCCACTGAAAGCATCCCAGCCACGGTCCAAAACACTTAGGACTTCGAGCAGATTCAAAAGCATAGGGATTAGGGTTTGGGGTTTAGGGTTTAGGGTGTAGGGTCTGGGGTTCAGGGTTTAGGGTTTAGATCTTAACGCCTCAGGGGACATCCCTCTGATCGAAGACACTTTCCAGTCTTTCTTGGAGCTCTGCGGCGTCGCATCGGCACAGCCGACGCGGCAAGCGTTCAAGGAGCTGTTCAAGCAAGGCCCCCAAAGCTTACTTGCTACAAAATAAAACTATGTACTCACACTACATACTATATTATAGGATATACTATACATATACATATACATATATATATATACATACATACAAATATTTATATTTATATATACTATGGATTGTGTTAACTTTATGGTTTTGCCCTCTACTGTATATCATATACTATGTGCAGCAGCCTTGAGGGCTTGATAGGGTCGACAAGGTTCGGGGTTTCGGGCCTTTGGCGGGCTTTGATGTGTCCATGGAGGTTTGGCTTTGGATCTGGGTCCCGCAGGCTTTGGGCTTGAGAAGGGCCAAGGATTTGGGGTGATTCAGCTCAGGTGCATGGGTTCCGTGAGTTAAGACATCGGGTTTCCTAACGCTACCCTAAGCCGCAAACCCCTTAGTTTGAAAGCAGCATGCCTGGAAGACCACTACAAGTGGATCTCCCTCGAGCAGTGGCGCCAGCGCTACGCCGAGGCTCACATCACCCGAGAGCGTGCTTTGCGGTCAACCCTAACCCTGAAACTTGTAGGGTTTAGGGCTGAGGGCTTCAGGCTTAGTGCTTAGTGATCAGGGGTCAGGGGCTTAGGGCTTAGGGCTGAGGGCGCAGCACCATTACCGATAGTACTGGCAGAAACTCCCCTGCACCAAGGTTCCCAAACCGATGCCAAAGCCCGCTGACAACCTGGCACCCCTCTACATCCTCCTGAAAACCCAACATGTCCATACATTGAAGAACCCCAAGTAGTGGTTAAGTGCGACTTCCAAGTTAGACGCAGGCAAAGCTCGATGTCTCGGCCTTTGAAAGTCAAGATCGTCCGCACAGTCTAGCAGACCTTAACCCTGAACTTGGCCCTAAACCGTCTACCCTCTTTGCCCAACCCACGTCCGAAAAGTACCCCCAAAAAGAACTCGGCAAGGGACAAGTTTTTCAATTTTTGCATCGCAGACCCCCTAAACCCAAAGCTCTGGCCCAAAGTACATGCAGGCCTTCGAGTTCTTCGACACCGACAGCGACGGCCAGCTGAGCAGGGAGGACTCTAGACTGTTTATTTGGCTTGGGGATGAGAATTTAGCTGGGTTGCCAGTTCTTGCCGACGACTTTTCTTTTAGTGCCAGTTGCAAGTGGTGAGTCAAGCTTAGAATCCGTACGTTAAGTGGTGATTCCACAACGTGCTGTTTCACCGACTACATGTACTAGGCCCTCATGAGCTTTTGTGGATTTACCCACAAACCCTCAAGCCTAAACCCTAAAAGATGGATTGAATGAGCTCTTCCGGCTGACACTCGTATCTGGGAGCCAGGAGAGCCACCCAGGATGGAACAGTCATAGCTGCTTAGCTGTAGCACCCAGAGTAGGCTATAGCACCCAGAGCAGGCCATGGTTCACTTTTGTAGGGTTTATGTTTCCTTAGAAGCCCCTTCAAATCAATAAGGGCACCCCTGTGGCTATTCCTAGGCTACTCTTGGGTAGTGGTTCTACTCTTGGGTAGTGGTTCACACTAAGAAATAGTGACAAGATCGGCAGCTTAGGGACAGCTCTGCTTCGCAAGGAAGTCCTCTGTGCCCTGGCAGAATGGGGCTACAGCGTGTCCAAGGCAGGGGGCTTCATCTGGGGAACCTCGGTGGGCTACCGGGGCCCGGTAGCCCTTCAGCTTACGCCCTTTCTTGAGCCCTAAACAAGAGACTACTGAACCAAACCTTTCTCTGTGGAGAGTAAGTTGACAGGGCTCTTAGGAACCAAAACAGGGCGGCGCAGGCTTTGAGGGGCCTTCGCAGGCGTCTGACAATCATCGGTTGAACACCCCGCCAACTACAGCAGTCCCTTTAAATGGCCAGAATCTCTTGATGCTGAGGGTTGCCCTGGAGGTTTAGGGTTTAGGGCTTAGGGTTTAGGGTTTCGGGTTTAGGGTTTAGGGTTCCCCAGGCGACGGTCGACACCCTCTTCCTACTGGTCGACTCAGACCCCGAGACCTCCAAGCTGGACCAGGAGGGCAGCTGGCCCCAGATGGAGCTCCATTTTTTAACCGTGGAGGGCTTAAGGATTAACGGGGTCAAAGGGTTTAGGGTTTAGGATTTAGGGTTTAAGGTTTAGGGAGGCTTCAGCTAAAAACCCAAAACTTTAGATTTTTGGGTGTGGGTTGAAGCTCATTGGGATTCGGCTGACTTTGGGGGATCGCGTCTTTTGGGGGCTGGCGCTAGATTGGCGCACTATATTGTGCTTCCTTTTTTACCCTATCTGGTTTGGGTTCTTCGCGTTGTTCTTTGGAAATATGGAGCAACACTTAATGAATGAAGAAACCCACCTAAACCCCCAAATTCCTAAACCCCAAAACCCGAGACCCAAAACCCCGGACAGGAAAAGCAGCAAAAGTGGTCAAGCACCTATGAAAAAAGGACTCCAAGAGCTCAGGGTTCAGTCCCTAAAGCCCCTAACCCTAAACCTTAAGCCCTAAACCCTAAACCCTAAAGCCTAAACCTTCAAGAAACCCAGGCCTCTACCTCACAATGGCTGCCTTGGTTGGCATCCGTGGAGGGCTCCATGGGCAGGTCGAACGAGTTGGACTTGGACCTTGGGTTGGCTGAGGGTTTGGGGTTTAGGGTTTAGGGTATAGGGTTTAGGGTTTAGGGTTTAGGGTTTATCTTGGGTGGGGGGTGTGTAGCGGGCTTCAGCACGGCCGCTGTTCTTCACTCCAGATGCTTGAGCCCCTGTACCCTGAATCCCAGCCCTGCATGCGCAAGGCCAGAAAGAAGAAGTCGAGACAAATGTAGGGTTCAGGGTTTGGGGTTTAGGGTGTAGGGTGTAGGGTTTAGGTTGGCTACTAATTGCTTAAGAACCCCCCCCCCCCCCCCCCCCCCCAACAATAAAGAAAACAATCCCTTAATGTTTCCCTTACGAGGAAGAATATGTTCCGTTGTTTGGGGGTTCTCTTAAGCAAATGAAATAGGAGTGGGGGCTTCGGCGATTTAGGACTGAACATCCACAGCTGGGCGTCCCAAGTAAGAGCAAAGACAAGGCGTTCCTCCCCCCTCCCTTCCCCTGCAGGTGATGAGCCAGGTAGCCGATTGAAGCACGACCAGCGGCGGCATCGGCGCAAATCAAGCCTCAATTGCTTTGGGCCTACTCTTAATCTTCGGAGGGTTAAGGCTTGGGGGGTTAAGGGTTTATGGTTTAGAAGTTGGGGTTGTTGACGTCCGCTTCCCCCAGAGCCCTACCACAGGGGTCGGAATGACTACTAGTAGTATTCCCTCATGAAATGTACTAGAACAACAACCTAAAGCCCATTCTAACAAAACCCCAAACCCTGAACCCCAAACCCCAAACCCTAAACCCGAAACCCTAAACCCGAAACCCTGACCCTAAACCCCAAACCCTAAACCCCAAACCCTAAACCCTAAACCCTAAACCCGAAACCCTGCCAGGGAACGAGCGCAAGAAGGCCCTCGAGGAGGCCGCAGAGGGGGCGGGTTTGGGGACCTCGGGATGCGTAGGAGGGGTCTAGGGTGTAAGGTTTATAGGGTTTAGGGTTTACGGGCATATAAGGTTTGGAGCTTTTTTAGGGTATAGGGCTTAGTTTGTTTCGGAGGGGTCTAGGGTATGTCGGGTTATCAGGCTTAGGGGGTTTCGGGTTTATAGGGGTTAGGGGTTTAGGGCTTTTAGGGGTTTTAGGGCTTTAGGGATTTTAGGGTTTTAGGGTTTGAGGGGTTCTTGCGTTTAGGGGTTGTAGGTTTTTAGGTTTCAGGGTTTAGGGCCTTCGCCCCAAAACCTTCATGTCCTTCGCCTGCAGCGGAGGTTTAGAGGTTGTTGTCAGGCGCTTGGGGTGGATGTTGGGCTTGGGTTTTGCCTTCTACACACCCACCCGCCCACCCACCCACCCAAACCCTAAACCCTAAACCCTAAACCCTAAACCCTAAACCCTAAACCCTAAACCCTAAACCCTAAACCCTAAACCCTAAACCCTAAACCTCTGTGGAAACTCCTTTTGGCTTCGGCTCTCAGAAGCTTAGCGGCCGTTACTTCGCAACTGGGCAAAGGCGATATCGACAAGACCTAAGCGTTTGAGGCTTAGGCTTGTTAGGCTCTCAGAGTTTAAAGGTGACGATTAGAAGCTTGAAGCCCTAAACCCCGAAGATGCGTAAACCCGAAACCCTACACCCTAAACCTTCGATTAGGCCCTAAACCCTAAACTCTAAACCTTCACCGCCCTGGGCAGGAGAGGAAGAAGCGGAAAGACGCCAAGGGCGAGGGCCGGGGCAAGTCCGGCGTGAGGATCTGCATCAGGCTGGGATGCGCAGGGCTTCGGAGCCCAACCTGGGTTTAGGGTTTAGGGTTTGGGGTTTAGGGTTTAGGGTTTAGGGTTTAGGATGTAGGGTTAGTGTTTAGGGTTTAGGGCTTAGGGCTTATGGTTTAGGACTTAGGGTGGTACCCCGCCAAATGAGTGAGTGAGTGAGCATCGACCGAGGCATGTGTCGGGCCGAAGACGCATGCCTGGCCTAACAAATTGGCGACACCTCCAGCGCGAAGGCTTAAAGTGTCAGCCACAACAACACAACGCAACGACAAACAGCAACAGCCAACAGCACACAACCACGACGCGATGACGAACGAAAAGGCCCAGTTGAGCGTGAGGGCGTGTTTGCTCCAAACAAAGCGACCACTAGGCAGACCCGCCACCTGCACCCATCGAGCAGAGTACTGCCCGGCGGGCCGGCATAAGGGCAAGACAGCTTGCCATCCTCGCGATAACTTCGCTCAGCCAAGCTCTTCCCCCAGAGGTCACCCTTCAGGGTACTAAGCCAAGCAAACACCGTCACCTTCGCTCAGGGCAGTGCGCCAGTCGAGTGCCTATAACGGCGAACACGCTTCTCCACAGATCCCTCTGCAGATACTAAGTGCCCACCCCGACCTGTGCACACCCGGACCTACTCACATCACGGCCTCATCCACCTCCACCATTTCCAGCACACCAGGGCCCTTCCAAGCTGGTCTCAAATCAGTGTGCCCTCCGAGTAGCGGGAAGAAACCCAACACTGTGGGCAACCTCCCCCGGAGGAGGGTTGGTACCCCGCCAAATTCTGCTGTGGCCGCTAGCCGTGGCATGGAAGGTGTTCAGGGAGCAGTGGGCTCCGCGATGAGCGAAGTGGGACGGCTTCCGGAACTCTTCACATTGAAGAACTTACTTCGCTAAAAAGAGTTGAACTTTAAGCTTCTGGGTTTCCGTATTTAGTAGGAATATTAAAGTTTGACCCTAAACCCTAAACCCCAAACCCTTTTATTCCCTTGGTTTGTGGAGAAGTGGGAAATTGGACAACAAACTGTGTTTCCAACCGCTGGCCTCCGAGGACCTAAGGCGTTGAAGCTCTTGCAGGTTTAGAGTTTTAGGGTTTTTTTGGAGTTTTAGGTTCTTGGTTTTTTCGGTTTTAGGGTTTAGAAGTTTAGGGTTTCGAAGTTTAGGGTTTTCGGGTTTAGGGTTTCAGGGTTTTGAAGTTTAGGGTGTAGGGAGGCGACGAAGGGCCACGTCACTCGCCCCCGTAAGCCCCGTAGCCGTCATAATCGTACTCCCCCTAAACCCTAAACCCTAAACCCTAAACCCTAAACCCTAAACCCTGAACCCTAAACCCTAAACCCTCCGCGTGTTGATCGTAGCAGCCGTCGCCCGAAAGGAACCTGTCCGAAGCGATGACGGCGGAGAAGCTCCGCGAGCTTTTCGAGCCGTCAGGGTGCCTAGAGCCGCTGTTTGCCTAACGTTCCCCGCAAAGAATCAAAGATAATAATCCCATATCCAGAGCCAAAGATGATCATCCCATATTGCCCTGAAAAAGGAAGAGTATCAAAAAAAAATTGAGGGTTCTGAAGCAAGTAGAGAAGGATTCCCGCGTTTAGAGGCACTAGGTTTTGGGTGTTGGAGCTCCGAGCTTCAGAATCCCAAGGCCCGAGGTCAGGGGGTGTCCTTCACCTTCTGAGGTTGGAACCATGGCCCTTAGCATGGCTCCGTACTCTTGTTTATAGGGACCCGAAGTATGGGCCCTTAGTATGTATAGTGTATATAAGCGTTGTATAACAAAGGACCCGAAGTAAGGGCCCGTATACTTGGAACCCAGAACACCTGAGGGCGTTTCCTTTCGGAACGGTGCGCCACAGCTGGGAGCTGCTGAGCAGAACCTTCGACGTACTTCCCTCCCAACAGCAAATCTGACTATGCAAAAGAACCCGATGGCCCAAAAGGACACAACCAAGACCTTTGAGTCCTACAGTCTCAAAACGTGCGCCAGCATGCACCAAAAACCTTCAATTGGAACTAAACCCTAAACCCTAAACCCTAAACCCTAAACCCTAAACCCAAAACGTGCCTTGAATGCACTTCAAGGCTGGGCACCATCGTCGCGGTCATCCTGAAGTGCGACGAGGCCACACCCAGCGCCCAGAAGCCCTGAAGTCCCCCCTCAGTACCCCCTCAGTAAGATGCCAGAGAGGGGTTTAGGGTTTAGGGTTTAGGGATTCTTTGGGAGGTGTTGGGTGCTGTTGCAGACTCTTTTGCTTGACACACCGGCCTTGCAATTGCTGAAAGAGACGGGGCGGGGCAATTGGAGCCCCCAACTTCGCAAACATAGGATTTTCCGTTGTTGGGGGTACCCTATTGGGGTCCCTTAAACTCGTAGCCCCCACATGTGGTGCTGCTACACTTCGGGCTCGCCATTCCGATCCTCTGATTTGTGCCGTGATGTCTTGATTGCGTTGGGGCCAGGGCTTTCGGTACAGCGTCTTAGCTTCCAGAGTCTAGGCGCTTGGAGGGTTGTGTGCATGGGCCTAGGCAAATGATCTCGGAAAGCCTGAGTGCCTACTTGCCCCTCATCCCTTATCTCTAAACCCTAAACCCGAAACCCTAAACCCTAAACCCTGAACCCGAAACCTTGAACCCTACACTTCTGCCTCTGTGATCTGACGATCGGAGAAGGAGACTGGAAAGAATCGGGGCGTTGGCTTTGTGGTGATGTCCTCCATGGAAGAGGCTCTCCCCATGCCTTTTGGGTCATATGGGGTCATGGAGTCCTCTGCTGAGAAACGTTGAGGGTAGAGTCGGAGGACAAGGTTCAAAGGCTCAGGAGAACAACCGGGTGCTGTCATGTGTTGTCTGTACCTGCAGGTACTGGTGGGGTTATAGGCAGGCTCGTTCTGCAAGCCCCCCGCAAATTCGTTATTTTGAAGAATGGTCAGCCAAGGGCTTAAGTTTTCGCAATGCCTTCTCGTAGGCTCCAAAACATAAGCCCAAGCAAACAAAGGAAAAACACCAACACGTCCTACCGAGCTGAACCTTTGCCGCAGAGAATGATTTTCGGAGCGTCCCTGGTGTGCTCATATACCCTAAACCCTAAACCCATGGCCCACACACACTGACCCTCCAAAGCTGCGACCAGTCCTGCATCCCCACGGGCCCCTCCTCCCACGTCCCTACGGTTTTTGGGTTTAGGATGTAGGGCTTAGGGTTTAGCGTTTAGGGTTTAGGCTTTAGGGTTTTAGTGTTAAGGGTTTAGGGTTTAGGGGGATGTAGGTTTGCGAAGGCCAACAAAGCCATCGAGGAACTAAATGGCAAAGAAGCTGAGGGAAAGGCGGGCTCTGGGCACAGGCTCTGGGCAATACGGGTATTTCACAGAATTAGGGGCCCAGAAGGTCATATTGAAATGCTCAGCTGGATTCAGGATTCAGGGTTCGGTGTTTGTTCGCGAAAGGGCAGGGCCTTGAGGCTGGGTCGAGCTTTGGGTTGAAGATTCCGAGTTTAGTGAACCCCCCTAAGGTTCGGTGACCCAATGCTTGGTGGCAAGACCTGTGCTTCCTGGTGTGCCGAAATCCTGGGTCCTTAAGTGTAAGCTCGGGGCAGAGGCTAGACCCAGCCCATGCCGTGCCCCCCTGACCAACAATCGGTGCTCCGAACCCTGGCAGCCCCTCAACGTGGCCTTGTCGGAGAGAAGAAGAAGGGGAGAGCGCCACGACCTCAGACGTATTTAGGGGTTTAGGGTTTGGGGTTTAGGGTTTAGGGGTTAGGGGTTTAGGGTTTAGGGTTTAGGGTTCAG